ACAAGCCACAGATTCGGTAGCGTCAGCACTTAGAGAAACAATGTCAAAGAATGGTGAGGTGGATTACAATCTCCCATCGTTACAACTTTCCACTGTTACAGCTAAGTGACTTGCTCAGTGTCATACAACTGGTTCAGGCCAAGGAGGTGGCAAAAAGCAGTCGACAAAGACCCCCTGGGCCTTGAGCCAGACCAACTGGTTTCTAATCCCATTGCCCGCCGCACTCCTTGGGCCGGTGATGTCAGCTCTCTGAGCCCAGTTTCCTCATTTTCCCCCAGGGATGACAACAGCAGCTTGGTGGGGAGATGGGAGGATACACTGAGATGATGTAAGGGAAGCACCCGCACAGAGCCATACTCAATCCACGGGCACAAGAATGACGTTCTTTGCAAAGAAAACCCAGGCTCACAGGGCAGACAGCAAGATCACCCAGCAGGGCTGTGGCCGCCACTGGGCTACCTACACGTGTGTGGATGCTGCCCCGACACTCGCCTGCCTGTCTTGCCCAGGGCCCAGCCTGAGCCAGATTCAGGTGACGAAGGATTTCTGCAAAGAAACCCCCTGGGAGGCCCCAGAGAAGGAGGAGGTGCCCAGTCTCCTAGTAAAGGCTCCCCAAGAGGAGCAGAGGCTACAGCCGCAACTCTTGAATCACCCACCAGCTTTCCCAAATGCATTTATTTGTTCAATGTTTTTCTTCCAATCAACTCATTTAAAAAATGTACTGAAAATGGAATTTTTAAATTTTACTTTTTATTGTTGTTCAGTTATAGTTATCCTAATTTTCTCCCATTGCTCTCCCCCACCCCGCCTACCCCTAAAATAGAAATTTCAAATTACTGGCCTCAAACGGAAAGTCACTATCATTTGTCATAAAGGGGAAGCAACCATAAAATTAAATACCAGGAAAACAAAACAACATTCTTAAGTTCTAATTAAATCTCATTTCTTGCTGACAGTTCTGAGCTGAGCCCTGCTTTTTCCTCCTTAATAAATGAGGCGTGCCCTGGCTGGCGTAGCTCAGTGGATTGAATGCAGGCTGCAAACCAGGCATCTCAGGTTCGATTCCCAGACAGGGCACATGCCTGGGTTGCAGGCCACGGCCCCCAGCAACCACACATTGATGTTTCTCTCTCTCTCTTTCTCCCTCCCTTCCCTCTCTAAAAATAAATAAACAGAAAACTTTAAAAAATAAATAAATGAGGTGTTAAAGACACAGAAACTGGCCTGGCTGGTGTGGCTCAGTGGATTGAATACCAGTTTACGAACCAAAGGGTCGTGGGTTTGATTCCCAGTCAGGGTACATGCCTGGGTTGCAGGCCACGTCCCTGGTTGGGGGCGTGCAAGAGGCAACAACAACACATTGATGTTTCTCTCCCTCTCTCTCTCTCTCTCCTTTCTGCTCTCTCTATAAACAAACAAACAAATAAATAAATAAAGTAAGAAAAGACATAGAAACTGGCAAATGAGATTTCCTCCCCCTATCAGTGGAGGAAGAGGAAGAAAATCAAAAGGAAATAGGAAAGGAAAGATGCACATCATATGATTCCATGATATGTAACTGCGTCTGGAGACACTAAAACCACCTGGCACCTACCGTTGCTGCACACGTTGTGTCTTGGAAAACGCTGACCTAATCCGACTCTGTTCCTGCCTCACATGTGGGAAAACTAAGGCCCCCAAAGACTGGGCGGTTTGCCCATGATCTCACAAGGTCGGCGACTTCAGCCAGACCTAGAATCCAACCAGAACTCTTTCCAAAGCATCTTTTCACTTCAGTGGGGAGAACTTAAAAAGATAAAAGTTTAAGGACACCAGTGGTGGAATTTCAGGCCTTGGGCAGTCACTAGCGACACCTGAGCGGAAGGGAAGGAGGCAGAATAGATCGTACTGTAGCAGTCCCTGGGACCCTCGGCCCCACGCCCTCCTGCATCACAGCCCTCCGACCTCCCGCCCCAGCAGAGGGGCAGAGCCTGGGCTCATCAGAGCTACAGCACATAGGAGTGCAGCCCGCTTGGCTCAGACACAGGGGCAGAGGAGGTTCTGGGCCTGGACAGAAGCAAATTTATAAAAGCAGAACTCTCTCTCCAGGAAAGTGCACTTTTTTTTACATTTAATTTTTTTGGGGGGGCGTATTTTCTCACCTTTTAGCAAATGCTTATGTAGCAGTTACATTCCAGGTACTTCACAAATATTAAGTCATTTACTCCTCATGACAAACCAGTGAGGTAGGTACTATTACTATTCCCACTTTAAATATGAGGAAACTGAAGCACGGAGAGCTTAATTCACTTACCCAAAATCTCAGCACTTGGAATTGGTAAGGTCTGAACCCGGGAAATGTAGTTTGACTATAACGTGCAGCTGCCTCGATGCATTTAGTCCTCAGGATTTATGCAAGGAAGGTGTAATTAACTGCATTTTACGGATGCAGAAACTGTGCCTCGAGGCTATTTGGCGTTTATGTCGTAGATCCGGCAGACTCTCGCTTTTCTGCTCTACGCAGCCGCGGCGCACGTTGGGAATTCTTCGTCTGGGGTCGTGCTTTTCAATCCAGCACATGTGGCTACTGCACATTTAAAATGTAGCTAATGTGACCGACGCAATGAATTTTATGTTTTATTGCGTTTTAATTTTAAAACAGGTAAACTATTTTTTCCATTAAATGCAACTTAACCTAATTATTTGGGTAGGACAACCTTTCACTTTAACCATTGACAGTTTAGCTTCCATGCTGATTTGTGTCCAAACTAAATGTAAAATACATACCAGGTTTTGAAGATATTAGTATGAAAAAATTAGATGATCTCACTCATAACTTTTATCTGTTCAACTGATAATATGCTAGCTGTAAAGGATTAAATAGAATATATTATTAAAATTAATTGCACCAATTTCTTTTTATTCTTCTTCAGTGCATGACTAGAAAGTTTGAAACTACAGATGTGGCTCCTGTTACGGTCCCTTGGAACACGCTGGTCCAGAGAACTGGGATTTGACACCCTCAGCTGTGACCGGGGGACTCGAACGGGGGGCTGAGCCCAGAGTGCTCCAGAGAATGTGCCCACCAGTGTGCTGGGGGCTGCTGGTGTGCAAAGAAAGATGTGAAATGCCCCTTGCTTGTGTGGGCCGTGGGGTCGGGAGCCCCACCTTGAAATCCAAATCCACCTCCTACTACAAGCTGGGTGGTCTTGGGTGAATGCCTCACCTTGACTGTCTGTGGAATGGAGGTGACAGCCCCCATGTCACAGACAGTTCCTTCAGTGCCTCAGGGCCTTTGCACTTCCTCTTTCCTCTGTCTCCCCTCACACCTTTGCACTTGTCTTCCCTCTTCTTCCTTAAGAGCCTACTTTAAGCATCATCTTCCTGATGATTCCTATTGAAAATATCCACCCCCAGTCATATTTGATAGAGAACAAATCTACCCTATTTTATTCAAGAAAATATATAACACTTATACTCTATTTCAAATGACCTTGATTTATTGATTTTATTTTCTTGATAATGGTTTGTCTCCCCACTGGTTTATAGAACCTGTGAGGACAAGGATAGGTCAGTCTTATCACTGATGGGTCCCCTGCATTCACAAGACGACACAGCATGAAACAAAGTTAGGAATGTGTGCATAAACCCAGCAGAGTGCCAGCCGCATAGCCTCGCTCAGAAGACAACCACGCCTGCCTTTCTTTGCCCCTTACAGCTGTGGGCTCTTCCAACCTGAACGTGTAGAAGAATTCATTCCCCACCCCTCCCCCACAGGCAGGGGAGTCTTCAAGGCTAAATGAGGTCCCAGAATCCCCTGCTGTGCCCTGAAGGCTCTGAGACACAGGTGAGCTAGTCCCTGGGGTTCTGGAAGCAGGGAAACAAAGATGACTCGCTCCACCTCCCATTCAATCTCTGCCTGAGGAGGTTTTGTTTTTTTTGTTTGTTTTTTGGGTTTTGACGCCAGTATATTTCAACATCAAGACCAAAAAAGGATTTTCACTGATAGGTGCTTGGGGTGTGTTTGGGGGGTGGGGTGCTGCCCAGGGAGGCTTCACCAAACAGCAAGTCCCCCTGCGGCCTGCTAGTCCCCGGGAGCAGGCTCTGTTACAGATGCCTTCCCCACTCTGAGGCTCCATTGTGTCCACGTGTTTTGTGGAGCACCTACACTGTGCTACACTAGTCTAAGCACCTACACTGTGCTACACTAGTCTAAGCATTTCATGTGGATTAACTTAAGTCAAGCAACAACCCTATGAAGTGAGTGCTGTACTATTTATAAGCCCATTTTATAGAGGAGGAAACTGAGGCAGGGTTTTCAGTAACTTTCTTGAGGTAGCACAGTGGGTCTGGGCAGAGGTGGGGTGCACTGGCAGGCAGACTGGTTTTAGGGTGCCTGCTCCTAACCAGTAGGCTGCACCGCGTCTGTCAAGTGAATGCTGTGAAGCCCACCCGACTTCAGGCTTCCTCAGGGCATTACACTGGCCCTTTTGAGCCCAGAGTTAGCTCCTGTAAGTCTGTGGGTTTTGCCAAGTTTCTGGGCGGCTTTCCCATAGCTGAGCCTTGGGCAGCACCTTAGTAGAATGGGAATACTAGAACTTTCTGCCAGGTTCTCTAAAGGTTTAATAAAGCAATGGCGGAAAAGTGCTTTATAAACGGGAAGCACTCTGGAGACTGTCCCGGTTTGCTCCGTATTTCCTCAGCACCATCTTGAGAATGAATGACGTTCTTCCCATTTCACAGATAGGGAAACTCAGGTTCAGAAAAGCAAAACGCTTTTTCCAAGATGACGGCGCGAGTCAGTGGCTGGTGTCTGCAACTCACACTTCGGTGCGGGGCGGGAGGGGAAGGGGTTGGAGAAGAGTCACCCCTAGCGGGCGGGAGAGGCAGGTGGTGCCCGCGGCCCACGCTGGGACCGGACGGGAGGGCGGCGGCGGGGCGCGCGGGCGAGACCCAGGGGGCGGAGCGCTGGGGATGGTGCAATCTTTCGCCCGAGCGCGTCAGGCGGCGGGTGGTTTACTCTGGTTTACATCACCCAGGCAGGAGCTGAACTGAGACACTTGCAGTGGAAGCGGCGGCGGCTCCGCAGGCGTCTGGCTGTGGAGTGTAGAGGCCAGGGCTCCGACGGGCGCCGAGCTCAGCCGCAGCGGAGCAGGCCCCTGTCAAAGGCAAGGTACCGCGAGGAGCGCCGGGGCAGGCGGGCCGCTGCAGGTTAGACACACTCACAAACTTTTAACAAACCCGCCGTAGGGGGTGGGGGTGGCGACCTGGGCCTAAGTGTATCCGCTGCGTCCCAGGTGACGCGGCCCCGCACAGCTTGGGGCCGCCCGAGTGTGGTCCGCTCCTATTGGGGCGAGACTGAGCCCCCAGGTGTGGCAGCTGTGTCCCGGAGGCGGTGAGTCGAACACTGAGGTGTCCGAGTGTCACCCCGAGAAAGGTGTGCGGTTGTGTGTTTTGGGTATGAGGCGCGGGAGTCGTGCGGTTTGGTGCGGGGAGGTCTGTATGTGAGGGACCGTGGGGGACGTTGGGCAACTGTGTATAAAGTCTGGCACTGTGGGGTGTGTCTGCAGGGGTCCGCGTGAGCCTGTGGGGTCTAGGTGGGGATATGTCTCGGAGGACACGGGTAGGGGACAGGCTGGGCTGTCCCCGGGGCGGGGAACCGTGTGGGGCAGTGGGGATGCGGATGCTGCGCGAGAGGCGCAGAACCCGGGTGGGTGCCAGGCGCCGCCGCAGGTGTGCACCCAGCGGTGCGCCTACAGCCTTGCACGTTGCACTGAGCGCGCGCGCGAGCATGTTAAGTTCCTGCAGACGGGGTATGCTGTACTTACCGGTAGGGAGGGGGAGGCGAGGGCCAAGACCGCCCCTTCCCACAGCCCTGGGGCCCAAGCCTCCTTCCCTTTGCCTCACCCCTCCGGATCCCCCCCGCCCCCCCCGCGCCCCCCCCCCCGCGCGCTCCCTTTGTCGCCGCGGAACGTTGTGTCCCGGGACAGTCGGGGGCACGGCTTCCGCCCCCATGGGAGGAGCCTGGCTGTGAGAGGAGCCTGGGGCGCAGTAGATGGAGGGGGAGGCAAGGAGCGGGTATTGGACTTTGTGTAACCTTTTTTTGTATCACTCGTGCCATCCTGAGTGTGATAGGTGTGAGCTCTTTGCGTGTGTACGCGCACTGTTGCCCATGGAGGGAGACCTGTGTGTCACTTAATGATGTGTGTGCCCAGCTCTTCTGTGGATGTGTGTCTGGGCTGGCTGGATTGGAGCGAGTGTGTTTTGGGGGGGCATTGTACCCCTGTCTGCCTTGTTGTGTGTGTTTGGGATGACCCGCCCTTATCCCCCCCCCCCCCCCCCACCCCACCCCCACCAGGGTGCCAGGGATCAGAGGCTGCCTCCATCCTACAGTGGCGCTCCCTCAGGGTGCCTGCCAAATCCCTTGTCCAGAGGGTGGGGGTATCCCAGGCCCCACCAGGCTTGGCAGGGATAGGGTCCAGGCGTCCTGGCAACCGGGCTTGCTGATACAGCCCAGCAGGAACCTCTCCACGGTGTCCCTGCTTCACAGGGCACAAAGCGCCTGCACAGCCAGGGATCATCTTGCTTGACTCAGAAACGCGGTGAGATCAACAGTGTCATCCCAGCCTCATCCCTGGGTAGATTTCCGAGACTCCCGCCACCTTCAGCTATGAATAATAATAACAATAGTAGTAACAAAACAGTAGTGGTCATTTCCTGGTATCAGTCCTATAGCAGGGCCATGCTGCCTTACTTGTTTTAATTTCTTCACCACAAAAATCCCATTAGCTTCGCATCCTGTGAAGGAACCAAGGCTCAGGAAGGCTGAAGACTTTGTCCAGGATTACCCAGCCAGGGTTAGATCCCGGGACTCTGACCACTGCCACCCCCATTGCATTCTTACCAAGACAGGACTGCAGCTTTCACCCAAGGGGAGGGGCTCACCCCGAAGGCAGCCCGTGCACTTGGGGGTAGCATGACTGGAGAGGTGGGCATCAGTCTGAAAATGGACTGTGCGTGACGTTTCCCCATTAATCCTGCCTCCTACTGACCTTCGACTGTCTGAAGGTCTTTAATTGGGGTGAAGTCTCCGCCCCTCTAACTAACACCTCATCCCTGGGCCTCTTTGTCCGTCATCTGGAGTCTGCATGGGTCCTAGGGACCACCTTCTGCACTGACAGGTCATTGCCCATTCCTCCACGCACCACTACGCCCAGTGACACAGCTGCGAGGGCGTGGCCTCCTTCACCGCAGAATGAATGCGGTCTCGGGGCCCTTCTGAGACCTCCCGTGCCACCCGGTGACGAAACTGAGCCGGCAGTGCATGAGCACGGTGTGTGCACCCTGGGAGTCTGGTGGCCCTCGGGCTGTCAGGCGATCATAGATAAAGTTCACAACTGAGAAAAAGAAATCCACCCACCTGTTTTGAGATGTTCAAGCAATAAATGAATGTAGAATCTTTATTTTTATTGAAATAAAAAATTTACTTGCCTCCTGACCAGATCCCTTCTCCTAGAGGTCTCCCAGGAGGCCAAGAGCTCCCATGTGGCTGTTTTACCTGGGTCCTGCCAGACCTTCCCCTGTACTAACTATGGGAATACGGAGATGCATCATCCATAGCATACGCTGCTGGTTTTTTTACCCACACGAGATCGTCTTAGGTGTCGTGTTCAGCGGCTCGCTTTGTCCACTTGATGATATAACCATTCCAGAGTGTATATTTGTGTGTACATACCTTATTCACTCACCATCCTCCCCCACTCCTCCCATCCCTCCCTCCCCTGCCCAGGTGCTAGCTGCCTGCCCTGTAATACTCAACAGACACCACAGAGTCGCTCTTCCTTCCTCTCACCAACCACCAAGTCTGTCTTCCACTTCGCTCTTATTTCACTTAATAGTTCACTCTGGACGTGTTTTCAATTAGCAATATAGAGTTAACTCAATCTTTTAAATGGGTGTAGTTGTTCCACATATGGATGAAATAGAAGTTATGTAACCAGTCCCCTAGTGGTGGATGTTCAGGTTTTTTTAAAATAAATCTTATAGATTATGCTGTTACAGTTGTCCCATTTTTTTCTCCTCTTTATTCCCCTCTGCCTGGCACATCCCCTTCCACCACCATCCCCCCCTTAGTTCATGTCCATGGGTCACATATATAAGTTCTTTGGCTTCTCCATTTCCCCCTGTCTATTACCTCCCCCTGTCTATTTTGTACCTACCATTTATGCTTCTTATTCCCTGTACCTTTTCCCGCTCTCTCCCTACCCACTCCCCCACTGATAACCCTCTGTGTGATCTCCATTTCTGTGATTCTGTTCCTGTTCTAGTTGTTTGCTTAGTTTAGTTTTTTTTTAGGTTCAGTTGTTGATAGCTGTGAGTTTGTTGTCATTTTGCTGTTCATATTTTTGATCATCTTCTTTTTCTTAGATAAGTCCCTCTAACATTTCATATAATAAGGGCTGGGTGATGATGAACTCCCTTTAACTTGGCCTTGTCTGGGAAGCGCTTTATCCGCCCTCCCATTCTAAATGATCACACATGGGCTGCAGTCATACCCTTGTACTTGTGTCATTACATCAATATGTAGAGAGCTTCCTGGTCCTTTTTCAGAACTGTATTCTACTATATGGCTATACTGTGATGTTTTAGCCAGCCCCTTACTGCTGGACATTTAGGGGTATTTTCTGTCTTTTTCTCTTAGACACAAAGCTCTGATGAAGAGCATTTTGATCGGAGGATAGCTTGTGGACACGGGACAGGCAGGAGGGGTGTGTGCGGTGGTCAGTTGAGCTCACTCTGCCAAATCACCCTCTGTCCAGGTCGTGCCAGTGTGCGCTCCCACAAGCAGAGGAAGACAGTGGCCACCAGACAGCCTCACTGTAGTGCCTTTCTCTCCCTCTTTCCAGATGCCAGACACCCCTCTGGCAGCTCCTATGAGTGCTCCCTCCAGGAAGAAGCAGTTAAAGCTGGACGATGACCTAGACATTGAATGTCCCACCCAGAAACAAGCTCGAAGTGGACTCCAGCCCAAGCTGCCCCCCTGCCCACTGCCACCGAGACCACCTCCTGCTGCGGGCCGTGCCCCTGCTGTGTCCATTGCCTCTCAGCTTGGGTACTATGTCCTCCAGGGGCCTGAAGAGGGCGGCCGGGCTTACCGGGCCCTGCACCGCCCCACAGGCACCGAATACACCTGCCAGGTACGTGCTTCGGGGGCCCCTCTCCATCAGCATCACAGGGGGCCTGGAGAGAGCCTCGGCTGCAGAGGACCCTCAGGGCTGAGGAGCCCTTATGTTCACTTAGTCCTGTGTTTATTGGAGAAGCAGCCAGTGAGCCCCTAATTCTCTGTCAAGCCCCAGGCTGGGTTGAGACCAGAGAGGTAAACCAGATGGTCCCAGCGCTGGGGAATTCATAGCTTAGGCCCCCATAGTGTGATACATGTTGTAGGGGTGGAGTTTCGGGACCATGAGAGCACAGAGGAGAAGCCTCTCGTGTACTTAGGAGGGTGTCCGAAAGACTGGGGAGTTAGCTGGGGAGAGGCGGGAAAAGCGAGGGCCAGGCTGGGCAACAGCTGTGCAGAGAGGCCGAGAGGAGTGGGAGCATGGCGTTCCCGGTGGTTGCGTGGAGAAGGCACGCAGTCAGGGCGGGAGATGGGGGCTGACAGCCACTGCACATGAGAGCTCTAGAAAAACCTCCCACTGGGCTGTGGGAGCCACTGAAGGTGTCTGCACAAGAGAAGATGAGCTATGGTGGACATCAGAACTCCTGGGACCCTAGAGGGCATTGGGCCTGCACTGTGGCCATTTTACAAATACAGAGACTGAGGTCAAAAGGTCATGCATGAATCCACATAACAGTGGACCTGGCCCTGGCTGGTGTGGCTCAATGGATTGAGTGCCGGACTGTGAAACAAAGGGTTGACAGTTCAATTCCCAGTCAGGGCACATGCCTGGCCTGAGGCCAGGTCCCCAGTAGAGGGCGCATGAGAGGCAACCACACATTGCTGTTTCCTTCTCTCCCTTTCCCTCTCTAAAAAGAAAATAATTCTTTTTTTTTTTAATTTTTTTTTTTAATAACTGGGCATGCTCGCTCAGTTTCACTATTTCCTCTTTTTCTTTTTTCCAAAGATTTTATTTATTTATTTTTAGGGAGGGAGGGAAGGAAGGGGGGGAGAGAGAGAGAGAGAGAAACATCAATGTGCGGTTGCTGGGGGTTATGGCCTGCAACCCAGGAATGTACCCTGGCTGGGAATCGAACCTGGGACACTTTGGTTCCCAGCCCGCGCTCAATCCACTGAGCTACGCCAGCCAGGGCTAAAAGAAAATAATTCTTAAAAACAAAACAAAACATTGGCCTAGCTTTCTAGGACAAGATCCAGGGTTCTTGGCTGAAATCAGGGACTGGGCAGGGCCAAGGCCCCCTGAGGGTCAGGCCCACACAGAACATCGGCAGGTCACAGCCCGAAAGGACAGAGGTGAGAAAGTACAATGACAGGTGTTTACTGTGCAGCAGGTACTGCGTTGATTGCTTTGTGTGCATAATATCTTCTAATCTTCACACGCTCTATGAGGTAGCTACTGTTACTGGGCCCATTTTATAGATGGAGGACACTGAGGCTCAAAGGGATGTGGTTATTTGACACATCTCAGAGTCAGGAGGTGTCAGCAGACATTGGACCCCGGCAGGCTGAGCCCCGAGCCACATGCCCCACACTGGGACAAGTAGTTCAGATACAAGCAGGACAGGTTTGCCTTTAGAGGGCAGGCGTGTGGAAGACAGGAGAGGCCTGGGAACATGAGGGAGGGGCAGAAGGAGACCTGGCTCCCTTGGGAATGCAGAGAAGCCAAACGGCTTAGGCCTCCAACTGGGAGCAGCAGCAGCTGGCTGCAGCTCCTGCCCTGGGGGCGCAGTGGACAGGGGGACACATCTGGACATGTGGTCCAGCCATCAGCTTCACCAGGGCCCTGGGCTGCCTGATGCAGGTCCCCAGTGCTCTGCCCCAGAAGCTCTAAGGAGCCCCTCTGGGTCCCCTTCCTGCAGGGTCACAGGTTCTTTGCTGTTCCTGCTGGGGAGGGAGGGACCGGATCAAGCTGGAGCCGGAAGCCGCACGCTTTCACATGGTCCCAGTTACTTAGAAACGTTTAGGGGAGTCTCCTGGGACGTGCTTGTCCCCTACACCAGCATGAACTGCAGGGGCTGACCTGTTGTTTCCACGTGTCTAGGGTTTTCTGGCCAGCATGTAGAAAGATAAACAATTGTCTTTGTAGATTGTCACCTAATTCATTAATTGAACAGACCAGGGAGCACCAGCAAGCACCATGCTGTGGTTCAAAAATAGACAAAGGTCTGCTTTCATCAGGCTGACGTTCTGATGGGGGACATGGACAATAGACAAGCGAATGAGTTACATTTATGTCAGGTGACGGGAAGGGCTGTGGAGAGAGGGCTGGGAGCCAGGACAGAGGAGGACCAGGAGGGTAGGGGCGCGGGTGATTTTAGCTAGGGAGGTCCGGGGAGACCTCTTTGAGGAGGTAGCATTTGAGCAGTGACTTGTGTGAACCAGGGAACCAGCCCTGTGGTTATCTCAGGGAAGAGCCTCCCTGCGTAGGGACGCGGGAAAGGCAAGTGCGAATGTCCACTTACCCTAACTTTCAAAAAAGTCTCTGTTTTTGGATTATTTCTTCCATGCCACTCACTGTTTTTTTTTAAGACATATGCTTACAGTTTTTCCTAATGGATCAAATATGTATATGCTTTATTTTTATTTCCTGTGTAGCATAGCTAAAACAGCATGCAAAGGGTTTATGCCAGCTTAGCTGCTGACTAGCCACATGGCTCCCAACGAGCCACCTTCCTTCTCCGAACATCTGAGGCTCCCATCCGAGGTCCTAAGGCCCCAGCTCAGCTCCTGACAAGCTGAGCCACCGCACCACGTGCCTCCCTTCCCTCCCCCACCCCATTTCGGCCTGCTGGTCTGTGGTTGTGACTCTAGAGCTGACCAAGCTCTTTCTTGCCCTGGGCTGCCACCTGGAAAGCGTATCCCATGGGCATTCCTGAATCATTCAGGTCACTTCCCCAGAGTCCCTTTTGAACCACAGGTTCTAAAATAGGTGCGCCCTTCCAAAATATTCTGTATTCCAGCCTCCTTCTCAGTTTCTTTGCAATGCTTACCAGAATAGTGCTGATTGTTTAGTGTGCATAAATATTTAGCTTTTGGGCCTGTTTACTGTCTCCCGTATTGGCCTGTGGGCACCAGGGGGGCAGGGACCTCAGCTGTCAGTCAGGTTAGACACCCAGTGGCTGTTGCAGGTAGGAATGAACGAAGGGTGGGCAGCGTGAATTCTAGAGAATGGAAGCTAGGATGGTGATGGGGATGATGATGATGGGCATAAAGTTACTTCTGCATCATGTGCTCTTTTGGATTTCCCTGCATACAGGGTTATTTTTGTTTGGGTTCCCTGTTATTTTTCAACTATCTTAAGTTTAAGGTCATATAAGGCAGCAGTGAAGAGTACTTGATGGCTGTGAGCCCTCCCAGCTTTGTCAGGGTTGAGTAGCTTGCCGCTGAGGCGCATGGCACAGGGTCTAGCACCCAGTAGCGGCCAAAGGGTTGGCTGGGACTGTTTCCAGGCCCACCTGGCTCCACGCGGTCCCCACCTGTGCTCACGACCATGCTCCACCCACAGGTGTACCCAGTCAGCGAGGCCCCGGCGGTGCTGGAGCCCTACTTGCGGCTGCCCCCTCATAGGCACGTGGCACGGCCAGCGGTGGTGCTGGAGGACACACACCATCTTTACATCTTTTTCCCGCGGCCCCATGGGGACCTGCACAGCCTGGTGCGCCGTGGCCGCCTGCCCGAGCCCGAGGCCGCTGGCCTCTTCCGCCAGATGGCCGCCGCCGTGGCCCACTGTCACCAGCACGGCCTAGTCCTGCGGGACCTCAAGCTGCATCGCTTCGTCTTCACTGACTGTGAGAGGTGAGCGTGGCAATGGAGAACCCACCCGCAGACACACCCGGGAGATGGGTCCTGATGGGGAAAATGAGGCTCAGGAAGGCAAAGTAGCCCTCACAAAATGTGGGGAAGCCTGGACCGGTAGCCCTGCCTAGGTCCCAGGAAAAAGCTGACCGGGTCCTGTTGGAAGCCCCTTGGGGCGGAGCCCTGCCGTTGTGATGACAGCCACAGTGATGAAGGACACAGCTGCGCTGTCTGGCTCGGCCTGGGTCCTTACGAGACGAGGTAGATACTCTCATTGCCCCCACATGACAGGCGAGGAAACCGAGACCCAGAGAGGTCAGTAATGCCCAGGATCCCGCAGCTAAATGAATAGTAGAGCTGGGATCTGAACCCAGATGTGACTCCAGAGCCAGGGCCCTGACGCCCTGTGAGCTTGAGAGGTGAGAGGCCTGGCTGGGTTGCTTGGTGACCGGGTGACCCAGGGTCTGTAGACCTCAGGTTCCCTATCGGTAGGAGAAAGGTCTGGACTGTCGAGATGTTTCCAGGATCTGAAGGTCACAGACAACAGCCAAAAAATGAGCCTTGGGTTCCCCACACAGGAACCTTTTCCTGTAAAACTGAAAATGAGTGACTTTTGGAGTGGGGGACAGAAAGGGACCTGGAATCCTGTCCCCACCCGGACTGCTGGGACTATGCAGGATGGTCCACACGCACATCCATATGAAGAACGCTGATTTCATGTCAAGGTTTTTTCTGGGCCAGGCGGTAGGGGAGTGACTCCAGTGAACTTTTAAAAAACTTTCTATTTTCGAATACTTTTAGACTTACAGAAAAGTTGCAAAAAACTGTCCAAAGAGTTCCCATATTTCCCTCACCCAGCTTCCCCTAAGGTTAGTATCTTACACGACCACAGCACAACCGCCACAACCAGGACACTAACCTTGGCCTTGCGCTATTCGCTAAAGCACTGACTGGTTCAGATCTCACCAGCTTCTCACTATGTCCTTTTTCTGTGTGGGATCCACCCAGATCCCCACCCTGCATTCGCCGGTCACATCTCCTTAGTGTCCTCCAGTCTGACTCGGGTCCACAGGTGTTTCTTGTCTGCCTTGACTTTGACACATTGGAAGAGCACCAGTCAGTTATTTTGTCGAATGCCCCTCAGTTAGGGTTCCACTGATGGTTTTGTTATGTTAAGCTGAGGTTCTGCATTTTTGGCAAGAATATCCCAGAAGTGATGATGGCCCTTCTGGGTGCCTGGTCTCAGGAAGCACTCGGTGGCCACGGGTGTTACTGCGGTATTGGCCTCGATCATTAGTCACGGTGCGGTCTGCCCAGCGCCTCCACTGTAAGGTTCCCAACCTTGACCCCAAGGTTAATGACATTAACCTTTGCCATGAATAAAGCCTTGAGTAATACCTTGTCATTAGTAAGTACCCCGAGGTGTTTGGAGGCCGCCGCATGTGAATACACTGTTTCTCCTCAAACTCCCGCCCGCCGGGCCGGCCGCCCGTCTTCCCTGCAGCAATTATTATAGCGGCGTTTGTCTAAGGGAGCTTTTCTATTTCCTTCTTTCCTTCTACATTTTATACTCGAAAAACTTGCCTTTAGTAAGATGTGGAATGTACAATTTATAGTGATTTTTAATCGAATGCACAACTTCAGATCATTTTGAGCCTTGGGTGAGCACAACACCCACAGCCCCCCCAGAGGGGAGAGAGTGCGGCTTCCTCTTCCCAAGGCAGTAGTTCGAGAAGCAGTGCTGGTAGAAGACGGGCGGTGGGGGCAGATAGACCTGGGTTCGAACCCCGGTTACACTGTTTAACCAGTTCTCTGGCCTTGAGCCGTGGCTTCACCTGCCCGAGCCTGACTTTCTGCATCTGTAAAGTGGGCGGCAGTGCTGACACGGACCCCCACCGCCTCCCCTCCCTTGCTGTAGTTCACAGCCTCTGTCACCATTGGTGAAGTGCCAGCAAGCACTGGGGAAGCGGTGCCATAGCGGTAAAGTGAACAGCGGTGGGAGCAGAACGGTTATTAATAAGGCAACCGAGATGCTCCGTGGGAGGTGTGTGAAGCAGAAGCTGCAAATGGCGTGCTACACACTTTTATTTTGGTCCCAGATACGTGTTTATTCGTTTTCAATTAAAGTAGTTTGCCAGCGTTTCCAAAACGGGAACTCTTTTGTTAAAATGTGATTTCTGGCTTCCCGTGGAGAAAAATGGGAATGTGGGGTCCCCTTGGGAACTACGTGAGCCATTGCTAGCACTGGCTGTGGTGGGTGGGAGCTGGCGTCGCCACCCCAACCCCATGCCCTGTGGATGGACGAGGGTGTCTTTCTCACAGGTTGTACGGGTCGTACGAGGATGAAATGAAATGCTCCAGGTACCAAGCTCAGGGCTAGGTACCCAGTGGACAGTTTGTAAATACTGACTGTGATGTTGGTAATGTCACCCTTTTTAGGCAGGGTTTGTGCTGAGATGTTTGGCCCAGTCCCACTTCCTATTTCTCTCTTTTTATTACCTGCCTGGACCCTAAGTTTGCATCTGTTTTGTAAGAAGTGTAATGCCCTCAGCCCCCTTCCACCCCAGGGACTGTTGGGAAATGTGTTCCTTTCAAAGTCCTAGTTCAAATTTAATTGCTCTGTGACCTTGAGCAGTGGCTTCACCTCTCTGAGCCTTGTCTCTCTCATCTGTAAAATGGGCTCAGTCATCCAGCCACACAGGACTGGCTCAATTCTGCCAGATGGCAGCAGGCACTTGGGAAACGGGTAACATTCAGGGTGCTAGTGTGAGGTGGTGGCTTGGCAGTTCTAGCAGGACCTGACCCCTCTGTCTCTCTCCCTGCTACATACAGGACAAAGCTAGTGCTGGAGAACCTGGAGGATGCCTGTGTGCTGACCGGGCCAGACGACTCCCTCTGGGACAAGCAGGCATGCCCAGCCTACGTGGGTCCTGAGATCCTCAGCTCACGGGCATCCTACTCAGGCAAGGCGGCGGACATCTGGAGCCTGGGTGTGGCGCTCTTCACCATGCTGGCTGGCCACTACCCCTTCCAGGACTCAGAGCCTGTCCTGCTCTTCCGCAAGATCCTACAGGGGAACTACTGCCTGCCTCAGGGCCTCTCGGCCCCGGCCCGCTGCCTGATCCACTGCCTCCTTCGACGGGAGCCAGCTGAGAGGCTCAGGGCCTCCGGCATCCTGCTGCATCCCTGGCTGCAGGAGAACCCGACCCCCTCAGTCCCGTCCCGAGCCCACCTCTGGGGGGCTGACCAGGTGGTCCCCAGAGGGCCAGGGCTGGAGGAAGTGGAGGTGGAGGAGGGAGAAAGGGCAATGGACCTATATGGCTAGGGCCACCCTGCCAGCCTCTCAGCTGTGAACTGTGGGCTGAGTTTGGGGTATCCCCAAGCTCTCTCCTACCGCTTTGAACTGAGACACACCCTGAAGTTCCTTCCAGGAGGGAGAAAAGAGGTGTGTGTGGAATGTGCTGTATGCACACACATGTGGTTCACACACCCGTGCACACGGGCTCATGCACTTGCCAAGTCTTTCTTGGGGACCCCCTGTGTGCTCTGTTGTAGGTGCTGAGAACACAGCTGTGACCCAGAGACAAACCCCTGCTCGCAGAGCTGACAGTACTTTTCCATGCCCACAGGCCATTGTCTTGTGCTGGACTGGGTACACTTAGTGCAGGTGACGACACCCACTCGTGCTGGCACTGGCACCTCTGTCATGAGACAGTTCCTCTCACAAACAACCCAGCTGCCTTTGTATCTTGCACCTTTCAGAGGAAGGGAAGCATCGTGTGCCAAAGGCTCCAGGCCTCCCCCTTGCAACTTAGGGCTCCGGAGCCCCAGCCATGCTGGGAATTCCATGCCAGCAGCTGCGTCCTCTTGGTCACAGGATCCTCTGTCCAGGCCTGAGCCAAGGATTTGGGCTGGAAGATGGAGAGTGCAAATTGTGAGGCGGGTCCTCACCTGACTCGAGGAGTGGTTTGGAATGCGGGTCCAGACCTGCCTGCTGCGGCAGCCCCTGACCTGAGCAGGGGGACAGGTTTAGGTGGCGTCTGCCTCCTTGCCCCCTGGAAAGTGCTAAACCCAGTTCTGAGGACGCTTTTGGGGTCCAGGACCCCCCATTAGTACTATAGGTTTTGTTTACCATGACTACATTTTTACTTTGTGCCTAATAAAGGAGTTATGAAATACTTGTATTTCTCCCAGACGTTTTTCCTATCCTGTCTTGTCAGTGTTCCCAGGCGAGTCCTCTGTGCTCCCTCTCCTTCTTCTGGAGGCAGTGGTGCCTCAACTGGGGTGACTTCTGGCTGCAAGTAACTGAAACCCTGAGTCAAAGTAGCTTAAAAAAAAGGAGGCGTATTTCACACAAAGCACGATTCAGCAGGTGGGGTGGGCTTCAGAGCTGGCCGATTCAGCTCACAGAGCTGTCAGCAGGACCCCGGCTCCCCGGTCCCCCGGCCTCTTCTGTCTCCACTCTGTTGTCCCTGGTGTCTGGTGTCTTAGAGACATCTGCTACCTGAGGAACAAGGGAGGTGGCACTGTGGTACTTGAGAAGTCAACACACTTGAATCCAGCTGCTTGGTGTCTGTGGGCCTCCACCTGCCCTCTTCCTCGCTGTGTGGCTAAGCCTGCCTGTCCCTTGAGGCTGGACCTGGAACCTCTTCTGACGCTTGTCAGAGAAGGTCCCTGCACATTGAAGCCCTCACCCCGCAGCCCTGCAGCAGCCCCCTGGGGTGCCAGCTGAAAGATGCAGATCCTTGGGCTCTGCCCAGACCTAGTGAGTTGGGCGCCCCGGGGCTCTGCTTGCTAACGAGCCTCCTAGCGATGCTGCTGAGCATCCTGTTTGAAGAACCCCTTGACTGGGAGAAATCCTGATTCCTTGGGGACTCAGCTCATTTCGGCCCTTTCTGTGCCTGTTTGACCCCAGCCAGATGTAAAACGCATGTAAACTATACCCGCCTCTGAGGCTAGGATGGGCCCACAGGTGTGGGAGGGCTTTAGCAGAGGTCACTGTCTGAGCCACAGCCATCGTGCCAGCTTTATGGGGACAGACATGCAGCCCACATCCCCTTATCATTCTCCCCACTTCCCTGGCTTTGTGGTTCTTCAGAGCACTTAGCACCACCTGGCAGAACATTCTAGATCTGTTTGTCTGTGTTTCATACTATGTTTTGTTTACCGTCATGTCCCCAGCTCCTAGAACAGTGTCTGGCACACAGAGCTGCTCAGCGAGTGTTTGTTGAATGACTGAACGAAAGCTGTTGCTCTCTAGATCCTACCTGCCTAGAGCAAAGCCAGGACGCTTATTAGGGGTGGTTCCTGTTTACTGTGAGCACACACCCACCACTCGCATGGTGTCCAGTGCTCTACATGCATTATCTCATTTGACATGTGATAGTAGCCCCAGTGGTCCTTGACCCCTGTTATCTGTGCCCTTGTTAGTTCTCTCCCACCCAGAGTGGGGCTGAGCAGTGTAACTGCAAATGACGACTGCAAATGATGAAGCATGGCTTTTAATGCTAGACCATAAAATATACTATGGCTCCTGCCTTGTTCCCCTGCATCAACTGTTCTGGGGAAAGCCAGCTGCCAGGTGGCTGGAACACTCACGGAAACCTGTGGACAGGTCCACGTGGTCAGCGACTCAGGCACCCTGCGATCACCAGCACCAACCAGCCATATGAGTGGGCTTTCTTGAAAGTCTCTCCTCCAGCTCCATCAAGCCTTTGACTGAAGGCCCAGCGAAAATCTTAACTACACCATCACCGGAGACTTTTAGTTAAATGACATAACTATTTCCGAACTCTTAACCCCTAGAAACTGTTGTTTGAAGCTACTCAGTTTTGGGGTAATTTGTTACTTATCAGTAACCAATAGCTGCTGCAAGTCTCACAGCAACCCCGTAAGGGAGGGACCGTGATAGTCGCCGCTGTACGGAGAGAAAAACTGAGGCCCAGAGGCGGGGATGCCTTGTCCAGGGTCGCACAGTGTACACTGGGGACTGAACCCAGGTTCGAATGGGGGGAGTTTGCCCACCAGGATAAAGGATGTCCAAAGTGGCTGCCAGCTCTGCCCTCGAAGGGCCAAGGCAAAGACCAGAACACCAGAAAGTACGTATCTGCTCCAAATACAAATTTGTGCAGGTGACCTCAGGGCTTAAGGGGACACGACCACCACAGCCAGCAGAATCAGCAGGAGAAACAAGGCAACAGGAGTGAAAAACAGCAGACGCAGGCATCTAGAGTTCGGAGAGCGATATTATTGGACACAGATGATAAAATAAAAATGTTTACTAATAGGGCTTACAAAAAGAACAAGCTTGAGCTGTGGCTGGTGTGGTTCAGTGGATTGAGCACAGGCTGCGAACCAGAGGGTCACCGGTTGGATTCAGAGCACATGCCTGGGTTGCAGGCCAGGTCTCCAGTGGGGGCCATGTGAGAGCCAACCACACATTGATGTTTCTCTCCCTGTCTTTGTCCTTCCCTTCCCCTCTCTCCTCCCCCACTCTCTAGAAATAAATAAATAAATAAAATCTTTTAAAAAATTGAAACTATGGCCAAAGTACAGGAATTACATATATCAAATGACCTAATAGACTTGAAAACCTAACTGAACTTATAAAATAAAAAAAATTAACCAAAATTAATCCAGAAGATGAGTTAAACAGGAGATTAGATGTGGTTAAAGAGGACATTACTGAGATAGGAATCTGACATCAATCACAGATTCAAGAGACTCCATAAGTATTCACACGTAGACACATCATAGTGAAAATGCAAAAAAGCAGAGACAAAAGATAAAATCTTAAAAGCATTAAATGGGGAAAGCAGAGATTACTTTAGAAAGAACAGTAGTACAACATGGATGCTATGTGAAAGAAGGCAGACACAAAGAACCATGTATTGTAAGATGTAATTAATATAAAATGTCCAGAATAGGAGAATATGTAGAGACAAAAAGTGGATTCATGCTGGGGGCTAGAGAGTGGGAGACAAGGAGTGTGTGCTAATGGGTACAGGTTTGCTGTTGGTTTTTTTTAGGGGTGATAAAAATGTTCTAAAATTAGCCCTGACTGGTGTGGCTCAGTGGATTGAGTGTCAGCCTGTGACCCAGAAGGTCGCCAGTTCAATTCCCAGTCAGGGCAAGTGGCTGGGTTGCCATCTGGATCCCTAGTTGGGGGCATGCAAGAGGCAACCACATGTTGATGTTTCCCTCCTCTTTCTCCCTTCCTTTCCCTCTCTCTGAAAATAAATACATAAAACCTAAAAAAAAAGTAAAATGCTTTAAAATAAATAAAAAACATTACATTGCACACTTTAGGTAGGTGGATCTTACAGTTAATAAATTATATCGCAATAAAGCTGTTTTAAAAAAGAACAACAGTCACACTGACAGGTGATGATGTCTCCACGGCAACCATGGAAGCTAAAAGACAATGAATGGAATGCTGCCATCTTCACCGTGCTGGAATGCCAGCTAGAATTCTATACCCAGTAAAAATGCTCACCCCTAGGGATTCTGAATCAGTTGCTCTGAGATGTGGCTTGGGCTTTAAGGTTTTTAAAAGCTCCCCCAGGGAAATCAAAAGTACAGCGCAGGCTGAGAACCTCTTTTAAGGGGTGCATTTCAGGCAAAAGGAAAGTGATACCAGATGAAAGTCTGAGATTCATTCATTGAATTAACATAGAATTGGTGAGCACCAGAAACACAGCAGGCAGCAAAACAGACAAAAGTCCCTGCCCCCTAGAAGAGGGAAACGGACCAAAAACAAGATAAATAAGTAAAATTTGCTGTTAGGTAGTAATTCATTATTTGGGGGGAAATGAAGCCAGGAAGGGGGACTGTGAAATGCTGGATGTAGATATGTATGTGAAATTTCAGATAGGACAGGGAAAACCTTTGGATAGAAACCAAAATAAAGGGAGAGAGCAAGCCATGAAGGTGTTTGGATTGTGGCAAATGCAAAGGCCCTGTAGTGGGTGTATAGTCTGCCTTGTTCTAGGACTCAGGCCACCGGGGCTGGAATGGAGTGAGCCAGGGGACAGCAGTCAAAGAAGGAGAGGAGGCAGTTCACAAGCTTTTACCAGACTTCTGAGTGAGATGGAGACTATGGAGAGTGTTTTGAGGAGTGACAGAGTCTGATTTACATATAGCAGGACCCTCTGGCAGCTGAATGGAAAATGGGGCTATAGGGGCCAAAAGGAGAAGCAAGAGCCCACAGAGGAGGTTGTAAAACACCTGAGAAGAAATGATGAACAGCGGAATGGGGTGTGCGGGGGAGGGGGGGCGAGGTGACAGGTTCTGGATCTATTCTGAAGGGGGACCCCTCAGGATCTGACGATCTATGGGACGAGGAGTGGGAGGAAAATAAGGGACAGTTGTTTGCGCGATGCCAAGAGCCTCCAGCGTGCCGCAGGCAAACGCAAACTTCATGAGAAGCCCAATAAACAGGTGGAGAGTGATCGCCGAGAGGAGGCAGAATCTGGCTGGCTGAGGGTGGCTTCCGGGGCCTACCAGGCCTGAATTCAAGCCCGACTCTGTGGCCTCGGGCAGTTCTTAAACGAAGTCTCCGTTTCTTCTTCGGCACACCCCGCTAAGGAACGGGTCTGCGCACCCGGGTGCTGGTGGTTCCGCCGAGCTGAGGCCCGCTCCGTCCAATCCCCGGCCCCGGCCGCTGCCCCGCCCCTGCCCCCCCCACCCCCCCACCCATACCCGACGGAAGTGCGGGCGGGGCCCCGCAGCAGAGAGAAGGTCGGGGAATCGGGAGTCCATTGGGGGTGGATTAAGGCTGCTCAGGGCTGACTGAGCGCCCGGGGCCGCTGTGGACTGTAGCAGGGCAGTGTGCGCCAGCAACCGCCTAGGGTGGCCGGGCGCCGGGGACCGGAGGGGGTAGGGTGTCCCGGATCCTGTGACAATCTCCCGCCCCCACTTCCGGGGCCTCCACTTTCACTTTCTCTTCCGCCGAAACTGCTCCCCTCCTCCCGACTCACTGGGGCTGGAAGGCTGGGAGTTTGGCTGAAATCCCGGGCACCGGGGCGCTCCCTGCAGGGAGAAGTGGGGGCCCTGCCCGGGGCTTTCTAGTGTCCCGGCTGTGCGGTGTGGCCGCACCGCACTCTCCCCCTGACCCCAGGCCTGTCCCTTTTTTGTGGTCGCTCTTTGCTGGCTTGGCTCGGTACCTCCTGCCCTTTCTCCTGCTACGCAGGGTCCTGGCTTGTCTTCTATCCCAGGCCCAGGCCCCGGTCCTCGGGTAGTGTGATGCTACCCGACTGCTGCAGGGGACACCGAGGCACGAAGGGGGCTTGGGCCACGCTGGAGGCCACCGGCAGGGGCTGATTTGCTCCTGATCGCTCTTCCTCTGCCTGGTGACCTGGAGATATAGCATTTCCCCGGAGCTAGAGCCCCCTCCTGGGGTGATGGGAGCAACCACGCGAGATGGACGAGAAGACCAAGAAAGGTGGGAACAGGCTGGATGCGACTGGGAAACTTCGGGTGGAAGGTTGACCCTGCCAGGACCCTGCCTCCCCTGCCAAGAAAGGCCTGGGAGAGGGGCTTTAGCCCTGGCCCCTCAGCCCACTTGCGCTTCAGTTTCCTCCCTGGGGGCCCAGTTACTATCAGAGCTGTCTGGTCATTCTTTGCTGTGATGCCCATGAGGCCTCCGTGGGCCAGCGCTGGGCTGAGATGGGAGCTCTCAGAGGACACAGGAAACTTCCCAGGCTGGTGGGGGAGACAGACCGATCTGAATACTAAGGATCCTTGCCTCTCCTCTAGCCCTCTCCACCTTGTGTTGTAGAACCTAAGTCACCACTCTGCTCAGAAACCCTCCTGTGCTTCTCTGTGTTCGAATAAAGCCCAGAGCCCTTGGGTAGCCGGCAAGGCCCTGCTGGCTTGGCTGGCCTCAAGCCTTCCTCCATTCACCCCATTGCTTATTCTGCTGGAGCCCCACTGACTTTTTCTGATCTAATCCAACCACTTCTTGCTCAAGGCCTTTGCTCTTACCTGTCTGTCCACCTGGAACACTCGTCCTGATTGGGTCTTGAAAGATCCAGTGTCTCCTCTTTCAGGTCTCAGCTTCAATGCCACCTCCTCCTAGAAGCCTTCCCTGATTTCCTTGCCCTGTTTATTTTGTTGCCAACATGCATCACAGTCTGTTTTTCTCTTGTTACATTTGTCTGTCTTCTCACCAGGGTGAAAGATCCTGTTTATGTAATTCAGCAATGAATTACACTGTCCCTTTCTGGGACAGTGGCTGGCACACAGTAGGAGCTTAGTAAATTCTCGTCAGGTAAATGAATGGAAGTAAGGGGGAATTGGGGAGGAATATGAAGGAAAAACAGAACTAAATGAGCAGGCAGGGGGGCATATCAGAGAAGGCTTCCCAGGATATGCAGGAGTTCGCCAGGAAGACAGAAGCAGCAGCTTGTGCAAAGGATCATCTCCTGTCTTAGTCCTCATCCCCAGCTCCTGAAAAATAAACCGTTTTAACTTGCTGCCCCTGTGTTGAATTTTAGCCGAGGAGATGGCCCTGAGACTGACCCGAGCAGTGGCTGGCGGGGACGAGCAGGTGGCTATGCAGTGTGCCATCTGGCTGGCAGAGCAGCGCGTGCCCGTGAGAGTGCAGCTGAAGCCGGAGGTCTCCCCAACACAGGACATCAGGTGAGGAGTGTGTGGCTGGCCCGGGGCACAGGGCACGCTGAAGCCCAGCGGGCCAGAATGTATTCCTGCCCATAGAACAGTTACTCTTGTTTTTTTTCCTCTTTTACAGAATTCATTTTATACCTATTATATCAAACAGCATTTTAAACATTGACATGGAAAACTCCCTGATAAGATAAAGACAAAGGTGTTTGTCTTACAAGAAATGAGATATACCGTCACTTAAGTCTTCAAAAACTGTTGCACTTTAACTTTCATAATTTTTAAAGATTATTTATTTATTGAAATCCTCACCCAAGGATATGTTTATTGATTTGAGAGAGAGGGAGAAAGAGAAACATCGATGTGAGAGAGAAGCATCCATCAGTTGCCTCCTGCATGCTTCCTGACTAGGGATTGAACCTGCAGCCTTTCTGGGAGTATGCGAGGAGGCTTCGACGATCTGAGCCACTCGGTCAGGGCTAAATTTTTTATTTATTGAATGACTTTTTTAGAGAGAGAAAGAGAGAAACATTGACCTGTTGTTCTACTTATACATTCATTAGCTTGATTCTTGTATGTGTCCTAACGGGGGATCGAACCTGCACCTTGATGTATCGGGATGGTGCTCTAACCAAATGAGCTACCTGGCCAGAGCTGACTTTCATAATATGACAATGCATTCATGAAACAATCTGCAGACAAGTAGTTTTTAGCAAATTAGAGAACATTGTTAAGCAGACATGACAGTCCTAAATTGTTTATTAGGTAAGAATTTTTTAAACTTCACTTATATTAGCAGTAATGGTGGAGCTGGAGAGTACTGCTCTTTCGCCCAGCTGCACCGCGAGAACCACTGGTAGTGTGGGGGAACTCATGGCCCTTTCCAAGGTCACGGCTCTTCCACCTGCAGGTGTCGTTCCTCGCCTCTCCCCGTGCTTGTGGACAGGTGGGGTGATCCACTGGGTGTCGGGATTCCTTCCGATAGCCTTGAGGAATGAATGGGTCAGTGAGAATAAACCAAAGAGTGTGTATGTGGGATCCTCACCGACCCAGCAAGGACTCAGGACCCTCGGAGCCCCGCTTAGAACAGTCACTCTGACTGGCAGGTTCTGGTGAGGGGAGACCTGCCTTCCAACCCCAGCTCTGGCACTAATCAACTGTGAGGTCGAGGGCAGGTCATTTCACTTCTCAGAGTTTCCGTTTCTGCCATTTGAAAAATGGGGCATAGTAGCTATCTTCTGGGGTTGTTAGGGGTGGATTAGGATGTTGGGTCTCCTATTATGGGAAAACACATAATCACAGTGGCCTAAACGAGTTTGATGGCAGGCAGTCCGGATGGGGAGGCTCTGCCCCTGCAGGCCTGAGTCTCATGCTCCTCCTGTCTTGTTGTTCTGCGGTTCGTGGCCCCCATTCCGAGGTTCACAGCTGGGTCCGAAACGGTCACTCGAGCTCCAGTCTTCACATCAGCATCCTTACCATCCGGAAGGAGGGAGGGGAGAAGGGCCGCCCCTCCCACACTTCTTTGAAGGGCACAGCTCAGAAAGTTACACACACTTCTTCCACGTAATTCCCGTAGACCAGAACTTACTCTCCTAGCCTGGGGGGAGCGTGTGAACTATAGCCAGGGAGACAGCAGTGCACGCGATTCCTGGTCGAGGCATGTGCCCGGGTCGCAGATTCCATCCCCACGAAGGGTGTGTACAGAAGGCAGCCAGTCGATGTTTCTCTCTATCTCTGTTTATCTCCCTCTCCCTCTCCTTCCTGTCCCCTCTCCATATGGTATATACTATATATCATGTACATATTGATTTTATATATGTGATACATATATATAACATACCGCTGCACCACAGCTTCGTTTATAGCCATTGTACTTGTTATTGTAATAACATAATATAATTAGCTGTTACATCAGTCAATAAAGGGTGAGTGTCAGAAGAGAATTGTTTCCGTGAAAAATAAGTTGATGGCTTCGGAAAGACGACAGGGAGATGCGTTGCCAAAAAAACCCCTTACCACTCTAGGGTGAGGCAGTTGTAAGAAAAAATGGTACAAATCCACAAGAGTTCTGTAACGAGGTGCTTTGAGAGCGTCTTTAAGTTTTTGCTCCACTTTAAAGAAAAAGCTGATACTGCAAAGCATGGACCATGTATGTGGTTCATCCAAAAATGAAAATCACAGGAAACTCCAGTGGCAGATTCGCACTCAAAGAGCAGCCGCTGGCCGTTCACCGGGAGAGCGGCAGACGGCTGTGTGTGGTGACTTGTGAGGTGGAGTGAAGTGGTGGAGTTTCGTCTGTGGCTGTTTCTGCGATTCTCCGCTTCAATGAATTTGCTGATTAAACTGATCAGTATGACTGATGGCATTGGATACGAGAGCTCCAGCTATATTTTTTTGTCATTGGTGCTAAAGTTATAGCTTGTAGCTTCTGTTTTTTGTTTTTTTTAACTATAATTAAGGCTTCTATGCTTTGCTTCTAGATTGATTCTAAAAATCTAAACCCACTAAAATAGCATGTATAGTACTTGAATTTTGGAACTATTACTCATTGTAGGATAAGTAGTACAGTTGAAAATGTATGTACTTTTAAAAAAATACATAATCTTTATTATATTTTTTCCATTACCATTTAGTCCCCTTCTGCCCCCTCCCCCTCAGCAATCACCACACTGTCGTCCGTGTCCGTGAGTCCTTTTCCCTGTTTGCGCCATCCCTCTGCCCCCAACCTCCCTGCCCTGACTGGCTGTCATCTGCTCTCCATCTATGAGTCTCCCTCTGTTTTCCTGGTTAGTTTGTTCATTAGATTCCACGTATGAGTGAAATCACACAGTATTTGTCTTTCTCTGACTGGCTTGTCTCACTTAGCATAATACCCTCCAGGTCCATCCATACTGTTGCAAAGGGTAAAGCTTTCTTCTTTTTTTTTTTTACCCGAGTAGCATTCCATTGCGTGAATGTCCCATAGTTGTTTCATCCACTCATGTGTTAATGGACACTCGGGCTGAAAATGTACGCACTCTTATGTTTTACGTTTTGATGGTGGAGGTCAGCCCTCTTAATTTCCTTTTAGTTCTCCTCCATTCTCCTGGATCAGACTCAGCTATTCATATTTTTTATTTCAAACACTTTTTTAAAAAGATTTTATTTATTTATTATTAGAGAGGGAAAGGAAGAGAGAAAGCGAGGGAGAGAGCGAGGGAGAGAAACATCAATGTGTGGTTAGCTCTCGTGCACCCCCTACTGGGGACCTGGCCCACAACCCAGGCAGTGCCCTAGACTGGGAATTGAATCGTGACCTTTTGGTTTGCAGGCTGACACTCAATCCACTGAGCCACACCAGCCAGGGCTATTTCAAAAACTTCATATGGGAAAGTGGATGGTAAACTTTTGAGTCTTTACATGTCTAAAAATTTCTGTTTTACTCTCACTTCATTGATAGTTGGCTAGGTGTTAAAAATCATTATCCTGAAGCATTTTGAGAGTATTTTCTGGAATATTTTAAAGTAAATCTCAGATGTTATTTCATTCATGAATAATTTGATGTCTTTAAAAAAATAAGGACTCAAAAATAACCTCAACACCATTTTCACACCTAAAAAATTACTAATTCTTTTAACTCCCCCAATCTGTTTATATTCAACTTTCCCTAATGATCTCATTTCTGTTTTTTATACTTGTTTGTTCCAACCAGGAACCAAATGAGATCTACACACAGTGCTTCTTATTATTGTCTAAGCCTTTGTTATTCTCTATTTTTATACCGTTAATTTTTCTCTTTAAGAAAGCTGGTCTTTGACCTTTAGAATTTTTCCTACATTCTGGATTTATTAATTGCCTCTTCAGGGTGCCATTTACTCTCTCTTGCTTTCCCTGGGGACTTGTAGTTGGAGCTCAAGGCTGGGTTAATCAGGAGTCACCTGTCAGTTTCCAGGAGTTCTTCCTCATGTTCCGATTGCTTGATGTTCTCCCAGATCCCTCTGAAGGTACAAAGTGAGCTTTACTGTTACTGCTGGGTGTCCTAATTTACGCTTCGTCTAGGATCAGTCCTGGTTTTGCATCTCACCTCTCCCCTTTAGGCTTTCGGTCTTCCAAAACCGTGTTGGGATCCTGGAGACGGTTGGTGTTGAAAGCCGCTTTCTCTGGAATGGGACTGTTTGGATTGAAATCGGCCTCTGACACTAACTGCTTCCTTGGCAGAGTCAGCCAGCCTGCCTGTCGCCCGTGTTTTTATCTGTAAACTGGGGACAGCAACAGTGCTGCCTCAGGGGTTTGTGGAGAGGATTGAACGAGTTAATACATGTGGAGCGTCTTGTAGAGGCTTGGCATGTGGTAAAAAATAACCGGGGTGCCTAGCTAAGGAGCAAGGGAGAGAATGGTAGAAGAGGCTGGAGAGTGGTGAGGGGCCAGGTCCCGAGGCCTTTGCGTGCACGGGGAGTGCGGACTTTATCCCCGGAGCAGCGTGGAGCCGCTGGAGGGCCTTCAGCAGGGGGTTCTTATAAAGGAGGAAGCACCAGAATTCGAGAATCCAGGAGAGAGACCCCTCACACTGCCTGGGGGCTCGTGTGTGTGTGTGTGTGTGTGTTGCACAATTGTACAAACGTGCCCATGCTGAGAGCTGGTTGCTGAGGTCGGACCTGCAGCCAGAGCCCTTGTTGCCACCCCTGTTCTCCGCAGGCTGTGGGTGAGGGTGGAAGACGCTCAGATGCACACGGTCACCATCTGGCTCACAGTGCACCCTGACATGACAGTGGCTTCCCTCAAGGACATGGTGAGCGAGGGGACCGAAGGGAGAGGTCAGGGCGGAGGCTTCCCGTGGCGCTCTGACTGTACCTGGTCCCTCTCCCATACCCCAGGTGTTCCTGGACTACGGCTTCCCAGCGGCCCTGCAGCAGTGGGTGATTGGGCAGCGGTTGGCCCGGGACCAGGAGACACTCCACTCGCACGGGGTGCGGCGGAACGGCGACCGTGCCTACCTCTACCTGCTGTCGGCCCGCAACACCTCCCTCAGCCCCCAGGAGCTGCAGCGGGAGCGCCAGCTGCGGATGCTGGAAGGTGAGGCTCCGCTGCTGCATGAGGACGGGCTCGCCCGAGGTCCTGGGGCCGGACTGGAGGGTCTCACCCCTAGTTGGGGGGGACAAAGGACACGCCAGGAGGGAGTCATTTCGGGCCATCTTGGGGACAGCGGCCTAGGGGGGAGGGGCTGAGTTCAGTCCTGGCTCTGGCGTTGGTCAGCTCCGTGGCCCTAGGTGAGGCCCGTCCTGTCTGCACGTTAGCTTTCTCAATCTGTGAATTAGAGAAGATGATAGCCACTAGTGTTGACACTTTCTACTTCGTATTTTAAAATAGTTCAAACCTACAGAAAAGTTACAAAATTGTACACAGAACTGTATAACAAATCCCCGTGGACCCTGCGTGTGGGTTCCCCAGGTGTTAGCATTTTACCGTATTTGTTCTGCTTTATCCTTCTGTGGAGAGTGTTATTTATAAAACTTATTTGTGTGCATGTAAGTAATGTTTTCCTGAACTGTTTTGGGAGGGTGGTGCAGACACGAAGGCCCTCTCCTGTAAATACTTGGGTGTGTATTTCCTGCAAAAAGAAGGCCCGTTTTCGCACGTTGCCGCGGACAGCTGTCAGGCCGAGGAGACCGACCCCGAGGCAGCGCTGTTGCCGTGCTGTCCTTCGGAACAACAGCCCTGTGTCCGGGGCTCCCCACCCCCCACCATCCCCTCTAGTCTTCGCTGCCCTCGGTTTCCCCTGGACCCTCCTGTACCGGCGTTTCGAGTCCAGGCTGGTTCTTGGTTTTGGTCCAGTGTCTCCTCACAAATGGATCGGTCAGCATTTTGGCAGGACCACCTGAGGAGTGCTGTCCGTCCTTCTGGGAGCATCACCTCAGGGCACGGGAGGTCGGTTGTGAGGCAGGGTTTTGAGCCCTGAGGACACGGGAGCGTTCCTGGGTGGCGGACGGACTCTGACCCTGTGGGCTCCAGGATACTCAGCAGGTCTGGGCCCACCTGGTAGGACGAAGCTGGAGACCCCTCCAGGGAAACGGGAGAGGAGGGGAGGGGGCCCGGTGCAGGGGGCAGGGTTCCTGGCTGACCAGGGGGTGTGGACGAAGTGGGGTGCGTGGGTCTACCAGCCTCTCAACCGATCTTTCCAGATCTGGGCTTCAAGGACCTCACGCTGCAGTCCAGGGGCCCATTGGAGCTGGCACCCCCGAAGCCTGGGGCCCCCCAGGAGCCGGGTCAGGGGCAGCCCGACACCACTCTGGAGCCCCCACCGGTAAGCTGTGCGTCCCGAGTCCCTGACTCATGCTGCCCAAGACCCTCAGCACACCGAGCTCACCAGCCCCTCGTCCCCAGGTGGGCTGGCAGTGCCCCGGCTGCACCTTCATCAACAAGCCCACGCGCCCTGGCTGCGAGATGTGCTGCCGGGCGCGGCCCGAGAACTACCAGGTGCCCCCCACGTACCAGCCCGACGCGGAGGAGCGAGCGCGGCTGGCGGGGGAGGAGGAGGCGCTGCGCCAGTACCAGCAGGTGGGCAGGGATGTCCCCAGAACCCGCAGACTGGGCCGGGAGGCGGTGGCCAGGAAGGGAGGCTCCTCCACACTGCCGCTTCTCGCCGGGTGTTGCCTTGTCCCCTCATGGACAAAGGGCAGGCAGTGACCCCTTCACTTCACTGCGACCCTCCCTTGCTTGCTGGCTGTGCCGCCCATCCAGGCTAACATGTCCTGCCCCCTTGTGGGTTGTGGCTCCGCCCCCAGCTTTGATGTACATGCCAGTTATGCATACAAGTGTACCTGGTAGGGACCCCAGCACCCTGGCTGAGACCCTGACTGCGGCCCACCTGCCACTCCCTCGTCTGCCTGTGACCTAGCTCTGCTTCATTCAGCCTTGACCTCACCCAGGACCCTACTATTTCCAACTGCCCTGCCTCTCTGGCTGCAGCCCACCCCTGACTTCCTGTGACCTCAGGACCCGGCACCTCCCTGCTCCCTGGGAGGTCAACCCCCTCCTGCCCTGCACCCTCTGGTCCCACCCCCAGTCTCCCAATCTTGGCCCAAGCGCTGGTTCCACAGAGACACCTGACCTTGAGTGTTCCCCATTCAGGTCAGATGCCCCGTCCTCCACCTGCGTTCCCTTGGACCTGGTGCTGCCCTTGCTCACCCCAGCCATGAACTCACTCCTGGTGCCATCTGCAACCTTGGCCTGGCCCGTCCTCCCTGCTGCCTTTCTCTGCTCCCTAACTTGATCACTTCCCCTTCCCGTACCCCTGACCTACTCAGTGCTCCACCTCCATCCCCTGGCCGGCCCCAGCCCCTCCCAGCTTGGCAGAAATGTGAGTCCTGTTGCCTCTGACCCCCTTTCCTTACCACCATCACCACCATCGCTCCTTTGCCCGGCTTGACCCCTGGTTGCAGCCCCAACTTGCTTCTGCCTGGCCCTCCTCCTGCCTTGGGTCCTACCCTTCCCAGCGGCCCTGGCTCATGCTCACTGCCTGGCCACCCCCACCGCTGCCCGGGTATCCTGTCTCCCAGCCTTGCCCCCATTCTGGGATCTGACTGACCCCCTGGTCCTGGCCACTTCCTGGTCTGACCTGCCCCGGCCCCGCCCCCTGTGCCCAGCGGAAGCAGCAGCAGCAGGAGGGGAACTACCTGCAGCACATCCAGCTGGATCAGAGGAGCCTGGTGCTGAACACGGAGCCCGCCGAGTGCCCTGTGTGCTACTCGGCGCTGGCACCCGGCGAGGCTGTGGTGCTGCGGGAGTGTCTGCATACCTTCTGCAGGTGCGGCCCCACCCCCAGCTAAGTGTTGGTCCCAGCCACCAATTAACCAGGGCAGAAAGGGGATGGGTGCTCTGCTCACATCTCATTGGACACCCACAAGACCCTGCCAGGGAGGCGCTGCCTCCCCGTTTTGCAGGGGAGGCATGTGAGGTACCGAGGCCACACGGCTCAGGCATTCTGGCTCCAGTGCCTGCGCCCCTCACTACTCCTGACCCAGGCCCATGCAGGGGCATTGAGGCCCTGGCCACCTGAGCCAGCCTCTCGCCCTGCACCTGGTGGTGGGCAGCCTGCTCCCTTCCGAGCCTGCGCTCCTGGCCCATCCATCCCGGGCTGTGGAGGGCACATCCTGCTATTTGGTGAGCAGCCCCTGGGTGCCAGGGACTGTGCTCAGCCGGGGGATCCAGGAGGGACCGAAAAGTTCAGTTACTGCCTTCTGGAGTTGACGTTCCGGTGGGGATGCCAATTATTCATCCAGTAACCACTGACATAATTGTGAATTGTGACAAATGCCTAGTACCAGTGGACTGTGGGGAAAGAGCGGGTCCCAGCCCCAGCAGGGCGGCAGGGAAGCCCTGGAGGCAGCTGGTGTGGGCGCGTGCCTGGCCGGTCTGCAGGAACGAGGGTTCGGTGTGGCCGCAGCAGAGGGGTGGACGGAGGCGTTAGGGAGGCAAGTCGGGGGTGGAGGGCGGGCTCTCGTGAGCACAGTTAGGGGCTCCGGCTTGTTCTGGGCCTGATGGGATGGGAGTCACTGGGGAGGGACATTGGGGACACAGGGAGCCCGGGAGGAGGCTGCTGCAGTCCTCCAGGCAGTCGGGGATTGAGACCTGGACTGGAGCAGTGGGGTGGGCAGCAGTTGGGGCCACCGTGACGGGTTGGTGGGAGGGACAGGGAGAAAGGGAAGTGCTGAAGCGAAGCCCACCTGTCCCGATGGGTGAGGTTCAGGCGACCCTCACCTTTACTCTGTCCCCTACTCCCAGGGAGTGTCTGCAGGGCACCATCCGCAACAGCCAGGAGGCAGAGGTCGCCTGCCCCTTCATCGACAACACCTACTCGTGCTCGGGCAAGCTGCTGGAGAGGGAGATCCGGGCGGTAAGGCTGGCGCGTGAGGCAGGGGCGCACCTGGTCCCAGGGAGCTGGGCCCTGAGCCGGGTGAGCTCTGAGCAGGCAGGCGGGAACTGGCTCGGGGTGCCGGTCTCAGGCAGCAGACACTTATCCGAGAGCCTTCTCTGGGTGGGATGCTGGGGACCCAAGCAGTGAACAGGACAGGAATGGGGGGAGATGGTGAGTCAAGAACCCTGCTTATGAAGGAGAGACAGCCAAGCAGTTAACAGCGGCCCTGGGTGACCTCCAGTCAGATACTCAGCCTCTCAGTGCCTCGGTCTTCTCCTGGTTAAAGTGAAAGTCAAGGTTAGTTTCTGTTTCGAGAGCTGTGAAGGTTACAGTAGAAGGGATGTGCTAAGGACTTGGAGTGGTGTGCGACACAGGGTCAGCCCTTGTCAGTTAGCTTTTGCTGGGTAGCAGGTCACTCAGGCTTAGCGGCATAAAACAACCACCATTTCTTTAGCTCATGAATCTGCAAGTTAGCAATTCAGTTGGGCTTATCTGGATGATTCTTCTGGTCCAGGCGGGGCCTGGCTGATCTCATCCGGGCTTAGCTGGTGGGTCAGCTGTCCTGGGCTGACAGATGATGACCTTATCTGTGATGGCTGGGATGACTGTGCCTCTTGCCACTGAGGCCTCCCATCTTCGGGCAGGCTGGCCAGGCCGCTCATGTGCTGTGTCAGTTCCGAGGGCGGCCAGTGGGCGGCCCCAGGGCAAGAGTGCTGTCCAAGTTGGCACGTCTCCCTCTTGCTGCTGCTCCACTGGCTACAGCAATTCATGTGCTCAAGGCCAGATTCTGTGCGGAGGGGACCACACGCGAGTGTGGAGTTGGGGAGACGTGGACAAACTGGGGCCGTTCCTCCAGCAGTCTGTCACCGTGCCGTCTCCGTCTGTGTGTTTGCTACTGTTCCTGTTACTGACGGTGTTATTGTCACGTTCCCTCCCTGACTGCTGGTGATCTCGAGCATGTCCTCTCCTTCCCTGGTCTCCCTTCCCCAGTTGGAAAGTGGACTGTTTGGCTTGATTTATGGTTCTTGGTATTTTTGAAGATTTTTTATAAGCATTCTTTATTATTTTAAGATTTTGTTTGTTTGTTTATAGAGAGAGGGAAGGTGGGGGAGAAAGGGAAAGAAACAGCAATGTGGCTGCCTCTCATGCACCCCCTACTGGGGACCTGGCTCACAACCCAGGCACGACATGACCTGACTGGGAATTGAACTGACGACCCTTTGGTTTGCAGGCTGGCTGGCATTCAGTCCACTGAGCCACACCAGCCAGGGCTGTTTTTTAAAGATTCTATTTATTTACCTTTAGAGAGAGGGGAAGGGAGGGAGAAAGAGAGGGAGAGAAACAGCAATGTGTGGTTGCCTCTCGAGCGCCCCCCACCGGGGGCCTGGCCCGCAACCCAGGCATGTGCCCTGACTGGGAATCAGACCAGCGATCCTTTGGTTTGCAGGCCGGCACTCAATCCACTGAGCCACACCAGCCAGGGCTAAATCAACTTTATTAAGGTTTACTTGGCACCTTAATAAATAAAATGCACCCCTTGTACGTGCAGTTGGGTGAGTTTTGACAAACATCTCTTGTGACTACCACCTCAATCAACATATAGAACACAGGCATGATTTCTATTTCATTGTGACTGCATAGACACAACGGCTCTTGCTATTTGGCTATAAACTTTCTAAATATTGTAAATCTCTGTGGCATATCCTGTCTGTACCTCCTGTTAACATCCCAGTGTCTCAGTGTGTAAGTAGTGTTTCAGGGAACATTTTGCATAGTGTCTCTTTTTCCTTAACATTGTTTTCTTAGGATGAACTTGTAGAAGTGAGTGAGTCCCAAAAGGATGAGAAAGGTTTGGGATGATTGTAACGTTATCGTCACATTGCTTTCTCAGAGTGAAATGTACCAGGATGCTAGTTTAACCACATGTCCTCTGGCATTGCTTGTTATCATTTTTGTCCATTTTTTTCTTTTCTTTTTTTATCATGGTAAAACATATATGAAATCTACCATATTAGCCATTTAAAAAATTTTTTACAGATTTTATTTATTTATTTTTAGAGAGGGAAGGGAGGGAGAAAGAAAGAGAAACATCAATGTGCGGTTGCTAGGGACTGTGGCCTGCAACCCGGGCATGTGCCCTGACTGGGAATCGAGCCTGCAATGCTTTGGTTCTCAGCCCGAGCTCAATCCACTGAGCTGTGCCAGCCAGGGTGTAGTAGCCATTTTTAAATGTGCAGTTCTGTGGTATTAAGTGTATCCACATTGTCAACAATAAAAATAAAGGACAAAACGTATATTCACATTATTATTGTGCAGCCATCATCACCATCTTCCTTTAGAACTTTTAATCCACCTTCTGAATGGAGTTTTAAAATACTGATGTGAAGAAAAGAGTCTGGGGGCTGGATTGTCCTTTACGGGTTGGGGGCTTCCAGGAGGGTGTTTGGTGGCTGGGAGCACCACCTGTCAGGTGTTCTGAACCCTGGGGACCAAGGCTGTGGTCTGTCGGCAGCTGCTGAGCCCCGAGGAGTACCAGCGGTTCCTGGACCTGGGCATCTCCATCGCCGAGAACCGCAGTGCCTTCAGCTACCACTGCAAGACCCTGGACTGCAAGGGCTGGTGCTTCTTCGAGGACGACGTCAACGAGTTCACCTGCCCCGTGTGTTTGCGCGTCAACTGCCTGGTCTGCAAGGTGCAGCCGGGGGCCCGCGCTGCCTGCTCACCCTAGTCCCGCCAGGCGCTCCCTGCCCGTCAGTGCTTGTTCCACGAAGGGCCTGGGTGTCATGACTTGGGGCTGCACATCATTGAGGGTCCCTGGCCTGGGCCCCAACCTGAGCCTAAGCCTTGGTCCAAGCTCTGACCCTGGCCTGAGCTCTGATCCCACACTAAGCCCTAACCCCTGCCGATCCCACACTAAGCCCTAACCCCTGCCCTACGCTGATTGGCCCTAAACCCAGGCCTGTCGCTGGGCGCCCCCCCTCATCTCCGCAGTTGATCATTAAGAGGCTGGTGAAGAGGAGGCAAGTCTGGGCCTGGGCGCCCTGAGCAGGCGCGGTCTCAGAGCCCTGGGCTTGCCTGAGGCCGAACCTAGCCAGAGGGGCCACGGCCCGGGTGAAGGGTGGTCTGGGGTTTCTGCGCCCGTCGGGACGTGAAATAAATGGTACACATTATTATACATGCTGACCCCGACTTCACCTGCCTGGCCTCCGTGCCTTCTGTCAAATGGGGATGTGGCCCAGAGAGCGAGATCCAGCCAGACACAGCCCCTAGAGGTGCTGTGCGCGTGTGTGGGTGCCTGTTGTGTTCCCCGCCTCCCCAGATTCCTGCGGGAACCTTCTCTCACCCGAGCCCCTCACTCACTGCAGGCCATCCACGAGAAGATGAACTGTAAGGAGTACCAGGACGACCTGGCCCTGCGGGCTCAGAATGACGTGGCTGCCCGGCAGACAACAGAGATGCTGAGGGTGAGGCTGCGGCAGGGCTGAGGACCTGGGGGTTTGAGTTCTGGGAGACGGCAGGGGGGTGGGGGCTTCTCTGAAGGGCTGCGGTTCACAGGGCCCTAAGGCTCTGACCTCCCTGCTGGAGTCACTCCCATGTAGAGCTGGCACTTGGGATAGGTGCTTGGGTGGAGGGAGGAGGCCGCAGAGACAAGGAGCCTGGGAGAGGGATGCCACAGCTCTGGGGGCGGGGTTTCCAGTTTCCCTCTGCAGCGGGGAGGGTGCTGGGGAGGGTGGGGGCAGGGGCTGAGGCCGGGCAGCTGCCCCCGCAGGCCCGAGGTCAGCCCCCACTCCGCCTCCTTCGCCCCAGTCCATGCTGCAGCAGGGCGAGGCCATGCACTGCCCACAGTGCCGGATCGTGGTGCAGAAGAAGGACGGCTGTGACTGGATCCGCTGCACTGTCTGCCACACGGAGATCTGCTGGGTCACCAAGGGCCCGCGCTGGGGTCCGGGGGTGAGTCCTCGGGGAGCAGAGGCTCAGGACATGTGGGGGGCGTGGGCCTTGCCCGAGGGTGAGGTTTGGCAAACTGCAGCCCGGGGGCCTATCCAACCCCGGGCCTGCAATTGTAAGCTTGTGAAGTAGGAATGTTTCTTACATTTCTTAAACAGTTGAAAAATATCAAAAGAATATTTTGTGATGTGAAAATTATATGAAATCTGGCCCTGGCCGGGTAGCTTGGTTGGTTAGAGCATCAGGTTGAAATGACCAAGGTTGTGGGTTCGATCCCCAGTCAGGACACATACAAGAATCATCCACTGAGTGCATGAATAAGTAGAACAACAAATCGGTGTTTCTCTTGCCTCCCTTTCCTCTCCATCTCTGAAAATCAATAAATTAAGGAATAAAGTTGAAAACAAATGATAGGAAATCTGAACGTCAGTGTCCACAGGGAGTGCTGGGGGAGCACAGGCGCGCTCCTTCCTTTGCGGGCGGTCTCTGGGCTCTGGCCGCGTTGGCGCTGTGAAGGCAGAGACGTGTGGCCTCCGAAGCCAGAAAGAACCGTCTGGCTCTTCACAGAAGCAGGCTGTGCCCCTTGCCCCCGAGGACAGCGATGAAGGGCTCGGTCCGGAGTCAGGCGACTCAGGTGCCTGGCTCTGGCACACGCGGGTGGTGTGGCCCCAGCTGTCCCTGCCTCCTCTGAGCATCAGTTTCTTCGTCTGTAAAATGGAGGCGACAGCTGGGCCTGTCTCACTCAGGCTGCTTGTCAGAGTCCAGTGAAAAGGTGTGGGGAAGGTGCTCGGCAGGGCACCCATCTTCTCGTGCGGTGTCTGCCCAGGGGGTGTTCCCGGAGTTTGGGGGGCTATGGTGGTTACAGACACGCAGGCACTGGGGTGGGGGGCGGCAGAGGGGCCGGCCCTTACTGAGTACGCAAGGTCCCCCAGTGCCCTTCCCTGCTCTGGGTCTGGGGTAGGCCGACGGCGGCCATGGAACTGGGGTGCATAGAAAGGCCTTCACAATGGCCCCCGTCAGGTCGCGGAGGCTGAGAGGGCCAGCTGAGAAGCGGGGGGACCTGCCTGAGTGCCAGCCTGGAGTGGAGTGTGCGCTGTGTTGGGGTGTGATGGAATAGTGGGGTGGGGGCACTGTCTTCCCTACACTGACCTTCTCTTCCCCGTCCTCTAGGGCCCCGGAGACACCAGCGGGGGCTGCCGCTGCCGGGTGAATGGGATCCCCTGCCACCCCAGCTGTCAGAACTGCCACTGAGACGCTGGTGGCCCTGTGCCTATGCCGACCCAGCCCCATGTCCACAAGTTGCTGTAGAAGAGGGCAGGGGCTTTGGCTGTGATTTCTGGCTTGGGAGATGCCTTTGTGCTTGGCTGAGACAGGGGTCCCCCAGAGGCCAAGGCCCTGAGCTGCATGGATGATGGCCTTGTTTGCTACGGTGTTGCAAGCGCCCTGCCTGAGCTGGCCGTTGTCCACAGCCGCCTCTGCCCCAGTGCCTTTGCCTTTCCCTGGGGCTTGCTGGCCAGACCTCTCACCTCTTCCTTGCGGCTCCCACTCTGCCTGACCCAGCCTGAAACACAGCCCTGGCCAGAGGCCTTGTGGGATGGAGCCTCCAAGAGCCCCGTGTGAGCCCACACACTCCCACCCCCCTTCCGCCATGTCTCCCGCACCGGAGCACTCACACCTGCCACTTCCCGTCGGCCTTCTGGGGCCGACCTTTCTCTGGCTTTGCTGTTGGAGGCCTGGGGCCCCTTGGAACTGCTGCTAATTCTCTTCGGAGTCCAGAGGGAGACCTGGTGGTTTCTGGAGCACAGCCCACCTGGCCCAGGTTCTGCCGCTCCCTCTTTGCCACTGGTGTAAGCTAATTAAAGTGGTTTTCCAGGAAGGGACGAGTGTGATGTCTGTGAGAAGACACAGGCCGGGACTCTGCACACACGCAGGATCCCAGGCTCTCCAGGAGCTGCAGCAGGAAGTGTATGCGCGAGCTGCGTGGCCCCCGAGCTGGTGCCCAGCTCGAGGCAGCAGGATGCTCCCCGGACGGGTGGGGTTTACGGAGTGCCGGGAGTCCGGAAGCAGGGTCTGCAGACCCGTGTGGACTTGAGGGCTGGGGTGGGGCTGAGCAGCAGATACGCCTGGGCAGGAAAGGCTCGCTGCACCCCTGGGCCGCTCAGTGGCCGTCCAAGGTTGGGGAATTACATCTCAGGATCAGGCGAAACTGCTGCCGTTGAGGGGTGGGGTTGTCCATCCTGATTTTACCATCTCAGGCAAGAGGTCACAGTGTCAGTCCAGCAGTATTCATTGGTCCCTTTTCTGTGCTGGTCGGAGATTAGTAATGCAGTTCTGTGTGTCCTTTCTCAAGTTTTCGCTGCAATCTCAGACACCCCCTCCCCCTGGTGAGACCCAGGCCCACGAGTCTGCACTGTGAATCATCACAAGGGTGGGGCGTGTCTCTGCCATTCAAGGCCTGAACTCCAGGCTCCAGAAGTTGGGGCATGTGGTTTTGGGGGAATGGGCTCATTCTAGCCTCTGGAAACTCATTGCCACCCTGTCCTCAGATGCCCCAACTAGAAAGAGGTGACCCCAGGCACCGTGAGCAGAGCTATCAGAGAACATGTGTGGCCGCTTGCCCTTCCAGTGCTGGCTCAGCAGCCGTCCAAGCTGAAGGGCAGCCTCCTATGTGGGAGTGACGCGTGGTCTGGCAGAGCCACCGACTTGGAGGACGCAGAAGCATTGAGACCTGGATTGCAGGAGTGAGATGGGGCCCAGGTCAGGGCAGAATGCTTTCTCTTACCGGCCCCTCCCTCCGCCTCCTACCAGGGCCCATCTTGGCATCCTTCGGGGGCCTGGGCACGAGAGAAAAGCAAAAACCGTTCTCTTGGTTCAGAGGTTGCACACTGGTTAGCCACGGGCTGGACCCAGCCCGCCCAGTATTGTTTTAGAAATACGAATTCATGGCCATGATATTTAAATTGAGAAACTATTAAAATCTACATGCCTAGCCTTTCTTGAAAAAGGTGAAGCTCGGTAACCCCAGGCTGCCATTTCCCCGTGGCAGGAACAGCTGAGCCATGTACAGTAGCTCCCTCCACCCTCGGGTTGACTCTGGTCTTTATCATCCCCAGTGCGCTTCGCGCTGAGGTCTTTCCAGTGCCCTTGCGCCATTCTTTTTCTCATAAATATTAATAGCTATTAAGGAAGTACTTCTCTACCAATGGCTATTCTTTTTTAAGGATTTTATTTCTAGAGAGGGGAAGGGAGGGAGAAAGGGAGAGAAACATCAGCGTGTGGTTGCCCTCGAGCGGCCCCCCACCAGGGACCTGACCCACAACCAAGGCATGTGCCCTGACCAGGAGTCAAACCGGTGACCCTTGGGTTCCCAGTCTGGGGCTCAATCCACTGAGCCACACCAGCCAGGGATACCTATGGCTGTTTCAAAAGTGAGGACAAGACAGGAAGAAGGCTTCATTGGCCATCTTTCACTTGGCCCACTTCATTCACCTTGACACAAACAGGGAGTTTGAGTGCTGCAGCCAAAGTGGAGGGTGCAGGGCGGCCCCAGGGTTCCAGCCTCCAGTGCTGTACTCAGCAGACCAGTGGGTGAAGGATCTTAGGCAGGTTCACCCTGGCCGGGCAGCTCGGTTGGTTAGTGTTTTCACAATACACCAAAGTTGGGGGTTTGATCCCCAGTCAGGGCATGTACAAGAATCAGCCAATACACAAATAAGTAGAACAAATCGATGTTTTTTTCTCTCTCTCTCCCCTGCTCTTCCTCTCTTTGAAATCAATTACAAAAAAAAAAAAAAAACAACGAAAAAAGATAGGCAGGCTCACAAGTGCTCTCTACTGCAGGGTCAAGGGGAGGTGCCACCCTCGCCCAAGGGGTCATCCCAGGCTGGGGCCCCGGATCTTGAGAACCCATCACCAACTGGCCAGAGCAGACTTGAACCCACACCCTCTGGGCTTCGGACTCAAACCGCCTACCTGAAGCAGCAGCAGGAGGTCCCCCATGTACCTGAGGGATATAGCCAGTCCCCCAGAGCAGGAAGGGGAGTGGAGGCCCACTGCTCAGAAGAGCAGCTGCTGCTGGCGTGAGCAGGAATTGGGGTGGCCCACGGCCCCCACCAGGGCTGACGCGTGCTCTCCAGTGTGCGCAGGCACGACAGCCGCTCACTGAGGAAGCAGGAAGCCGTGGCGGCCCCACAGCCTTGCCGCTCACCAAGGCTCCTGGGCAGATTCCACCCCTCCGTAAGTGCGGGGGAGTGGGGGGGCGGAGGCTGCCAGCCAGGGCGGGGCCCCTGTGAAGACTCGAAAGACAGCAGGAGCCAGAGCAGAAAACAGGATGGGGGGACGGCAGGGCCAGGAAAGAAGGTAAGGGCAGGCCGCGTCCTCTCTCGGTTGGATTTGGCAAAAGCCTTTGGCCTACTCCTCTGTCACCACGTAATGCCTGAATGAGCGTGGGCCGAAGCGTAGGGCTGGCTAAAGGCATTTGCTGACTAATAAATGTTCACCACAATGGAGTCAAAACACTTGCATGACCTCACAGTTTGCAAAGCACTTTCCCAGACATTTCACTAAACCGTATGGGATGGGGCTCTGTCTTACGGGTGCTGACCTGCAGAAGCTCAGACTGCCATGAAGTAACACTCTTGCCACGATGCCACTAATAATCGTTCTAAAACCCATCTGGTTGTGGCCCGTCCTCCCCTCCCGAGCCGCCTGGGGTCCTGCTCCCTCCACGGTGCCCAGAGCTGTCCCTGGCCTGAACCCTAAGCTCCCTTCCACTGACACTGCCCTCTCCATCTCTGCACAAACCCCAAACTCCAGTCGTCCTGGGCTTCATGGTCCACAAAATGCCCACTTTTTATCCAGTTGTTATTTGTATACTCCTTTCCCCTCAGCCTTGCATATCGTGCGCTGTTTCCTGACACCACTTCTCTCATTCTCCGGCACCAGCTGGGTGCCCAATGATTCCATTCTCACGCCACTTGGAGTTAACATCAGATCCCACAAGTTAAAGGGCTCAGTCTCACAAGACTGCCTCACTTCAGATGCCAGCCAGGTAGGGTTCCTAGCTACCCACACTTCTTCTGCCTGGCCCACTTCAAATTCAGGGGTTTCTACAACTCCCTCTCAGATTCAGTGATTTGCTATTAGGGCTCTCAGAACTCAGGAAAACACCTGTTTGCCGATTCTGCAAGGTGCGGGGAGAGGACGCAGGTCTCCCAAGCCCTCCCTGGACACCCCCCACCCCCGCGCCGGAAGCTCTCCAAGTCCCTGAATGAAGAGTTTGTAGAGTCCCATCTCCAGCCTCCCCTCACGTCCTTGGAGGTCCGTGGATCAGACTGAAATTTTCCTGCTTGGCCTTTCTGGTGACCGGCCCCACTCTGAGGCTACCTGGGGGTCCCACTGTGTCACCCCATTAGCATGAACTCAGGTGGGATCAAAAGGGAATCATGAACAAAAGACACTCAGCAGGAAATTCCAAGAATTTCAGGTGAACTGGGGACAAAACATTTCTTATGCCATATATAACTTTCCTTTAGTGTCCCAGTTCTCAAAATCCCCTACTTAACCATCAACTCTTACAAAAGTGCCAGTGCCTGCCACCCAAACTTCCTTCAATGCAGCTCCGAGGCAGAGCTCCCAGACACAGGGCGGTGCCCTGGCCAGCCCCGTGTTCTCCACTAGGCAGGTCTCGGGGCAGCTCGGGCAGCTGGCCTACGGTGGTGGAACAAGGTCAGGGAGCTGTGGTGCCAGCTCAGCCTTGGGTGCCCTCCCCTCTCGGCCAGGGAAACATTCAACATCCCAGACGACATGGATTCTTGCTCCCGTGACCGGCCCATCCGTGGGGTGGAGGCAGCAGGCACTTGGCATCACTCCGGGCTCCTGCTACCCAACAGCTGGGAGTGTGAAGATGTTGGAAAAGGCTGGCAAGAAAAAGCTCTCAGAGCTCCTTTGTGGACAGAAATTCCACATGGAGGCAGTGCGGCGGTCACACCCAGCTCTGGTCCAGGTCCAGACGCGAATGTCGGCTCTCAGAAACGGCATCCCCAGAACACGGTGAGAGCAATAGCCAAGATCACCCCTGGTTCACATCCCACACCCCTTGTGCTGCTTGACTGACTAGCGGCACCCAGCGGCTGCCAGCTGGGGTGTGTAGGTCATACTTCTTGCAGGTGAAATGGAAACAGGGCTGCAGGTATTGTCCCGGCTCTCCAGGCAAGGCAAGGCTGCCCGGGAGTCCGCGGACACGGTCGCAGGCCAGGGGCGGGAGGTGGGGTGCACCAAGGCCAGGTGTCCAAGACCGGGTTCCCCTCCAGACAAGTGGTGGATGGAGAGAACGACAGGAGAGGAGATTAGTAACCACATATGGCTGTGTATTTCATATAGGGCTCTGTACAAAATATTTACACATATTCTTTACAGAACAGTAAACCACCTGAAGGTAAAAAGATTGTTTTCTTCTCACCGATGGGGCGAATCCTGATGTCAGCAAAGCTATAAAACGGATGAACTTGCTCCTTCTTAGGTCACAACAGAAGCAAATGCCACCTGCTTCCCGGGCTCCGAAGGGCTGTGGCCCCGGGACCCTGGCCACGTGCTCTCCTCCCCACCCCCCACCAACCCCTTCGATGTTGGTTCACACACGGCTTGGTGCCGCGGCAGCGGGGGGCAATGCGGCTGTCCGTGTGCGACAGAGGACAGACTGGCTGAGGGAGAAGCCTGGGGACACCTGTCACATCGTCAGCTCTGGACCCTGAAAGAACCACCTTTGTCACCACGTATCTGCCACTTCCCAGATGAACCCATCCACATCACGCCCACCCCAGGTGGGACCCCTGCCGCAGACCCTTCACCGAGAGCTCGTCTTGTTGTAAAGTGCCGAGTGTGACTTAGTGTAGACGCCTCTCCTAACCTCCCTGGGCTTCCCCACTGCCTGGCACACTGAACGCCCTCCGCTCGGCACATGGAGAGCAAGCGGGAAGGACGTGGGGGTCTGGGTGTGGTGGGCGGAGTGCTTCTGGCACGTTCACATTGAAACACTTGTCAAGACGGAGCAGTGCCAGAGAGAGACCAGGAAAATGAAAGTACATGGCTGCTTCGTACTATACAACCCCAATTCTTTGAAGAAGCAAAAGGCACTTTTTTTTTCAAGCCAGAATTAATCTAAAACAAACCTGGCTTCACTTACAGGAAAAGCTGTCCCAGAAGGACTGAATGACCCATCTTGTTCCCTGGGCCGGAAGGGCCCCCAGGCGGCATGGTGCAGGGAACCGGCTGTGGCCGGCCCTGACCACACTCTTCAGGCTGCGGTCTGTCCCCTTCTGGGTGCTGAACGTTTCCACTGGCACTCCCAACCAGGAAGGAGAGACCAGCAGTTAGGAAGATAAGCCCCAAAACGAAGCCAAGGTAGTGAATGGGTGCCTATTTGGGAACAGACGGCGACCGGAAGCAAACAGCAAAGGCAGACACGAATGGGCGCTCTGGAAGTGCGGAGCTGTTTACAAACAGCCACTCTGGCTGAAGTGAAACGTTAAATAATTGAGTAACAACGAAACTGCAGGGTCTTTGAAGCTCATCCTTCCGATGAGAACTAATTTTTTCCAGGAACTATTATTTTTAAAGTGAGGGTGCTTTATGTGATGGGTGTTACATAATTCTAAAAATAGCAATCAAAGTGTCTTATGCCTTGGCTGGTGTGGCTGAGTGGATTGAGCGCCCGACTGCAAACCAAAGGGTCGAGGGTTCGATTCCCAGTCAGGGCACATGCCTGGGTTGCAGGCCAGGTCCCCAGTAGGGGGTGTGCGAGAGGCTACCACACATTGATGTTTCCCTGTCTTTCTTCTTCCCTTCCTCTCTCTCTAAAAATATATAAATAAAATATTTTTAAAAACTGTCTTCTATAAGCAACTTCATGTGGCTTGTGGAAGAGAACAGGCAGAAAAAAAGGGCAGGTAAAGCCAGTCTACGTCTGGGCCCTGGTATTCAACATTTCTTCTCACTTGATTTACAGTACCTGTGACCTCTAGGCTGAAAAGCAGCAGGCTTCACCCAGTAACCTAGTTCCCACGTGTCCCTTTGATTTCTGACCAGCTGACGGAGCGGCTCCTAAGAAGGGCGGATCTTGTTCCTGGGCTGACCTGCTCTGCCCCTCGCCTTCGTGCCGCTGTCCGAGTTCTTTGGCAGTGGCTCCTTCCCTCTTCGTCCGGCCAGAGCAGACAGGACAGGAGGAGCTTTGAGGCGGGCATTCAGTGTTCCATCTTACTACTAGGCAGCCAAAAGGGTCCCCAGTGACCAGGCCTAGTAGGTTCCAAAGGCAGTTGGGAGCTTAAAAAAACAAACAAACCACTTCCTCCAACACAAGAGGCGGCAGCGGAGAGCCCACTCGGAAGCCCACTGTGAGGGGAAGAGCTCTACACCCGGGCCTGTGCCCAGGGTCAGACAGGCTCTGTTCCTGGCCTCTGAGGCGAAGGCAAACCATGGACAGGCCGGGAAGGCTGGTAGGAATAGAAAACCCTTGACAGAAACCCTTTTAATAAAGGACATTCCACCCATTCCCACCCTTCCGCGGAAGGGCGAGGCCTTGGAGTAACGCCGGAGGAAGCACCTTCCCCGGCCTCTAGGGGAACAGCTGCAGCTGGAACTTCGGGGCCCACTCCAGGGCGCTCTTCACCACGGCCAGCGCGGCCGCGCCGAGCGCCACTGTCAGCCCCATCACCGCCAGCTTCACAAAGCGGTTGGTCCTTGGTTTGGTCAGGACGTCCTTCGTTCTCTCCTCGGTCTGCAGAAGTCCCCGAAAGCGCTGCCGCAGCACCATGTCAGGCCTCTGCTGGGCTGACGCCAGCTCAAAGTCTTTGAAGGTAGAGGCTGCCGTTCTGCAGAGGAGGAGAAGAGAACAAGAAGGAAATAACATGAAAGAAACAGAGGAGGAAAGGAAAACCAGATTAAATAGGCGGAAGGCAGGGCTGTCCACCACTCAGAAAGCTCTTCATAAAGACCCATCGGAACTCCAGCAGGGATTCTGCTGGCACGAGTGCAGCTCTCTGGGCACACCCCCACAGCCCTGCCCCACCGGCACCCTTGCCCGTCACTCCCTCTCACTAACAAACACCCCCACTCAACCAGCGGCTTGGCCTCACTCACTTCTCTGCCTGCTGCTGGGCCGCTGCTTCCCGCGCGAGTTCAGATGGGGGAAACTGAACAAAGAGGTCTCCGGCTCTGCTGATCAGCGTCTCATAGGGCAGGTCCTGAGGGATCTGGGACAACAGGTGGTGGACGGAGGCCATGTCACAGTCACAGTCCAGGACTTCCTGCTCTCGATACAACACGATCTGTGGAGAGCGGGGCCTCGCATCAGGGACCAGAACGTACAAGGCCTTGGCCACGTGCATTTCATTCTCCTTTGACATGAACTTAAACTGGTAACAGACAGGGCTCACCCCAAACGTTTGCTGCAGTCTCGTATCCACTTAGGAAGTAATAACGTGCAAATCTGAGTGCTTTTCCTACTGGCTGACCCTTCCTGCTCGAGGTGGACTTGCACCCACTGATGTGAAAGACTGACCAATTAAATGAAGGAGATTCTTTTAGGAGGAAGAAGAGGAGAGACACTACTGGAAGATTCCTGGAGCTCCAGCACAGAAAAAAATGGTTCAAAACAGTGGAAAGAATGGTCTTGCTCTCTTCAAAGAGCAGTGGAGAGCACCGATGAGTTCACACCTTCACCGCCCGCCCCACTCTCAGCCCCGACGAAGTAACACGCGTGTGTTACTGGCAGATGTAACATCTCTAATAACTGGGGTGCCCTCGTACCCCCTGGCCACCTCGGTTTCTGTCATAACACCACACCGGAGCTGGCCGTTTGTACTTGCTCCCGGAGGTGTCAATGGGAACACACAGTTCACAATGCGGGTGAGCGTTTTAAAGGTTCGGAGGAATCAAGCAATAAGCAGATCTATTTGTCTTTGTTTAACCAGCACTTCCCAAACTCGTTTTCCCACAGAACGTATCTTTCTGTGATGCTCCCCATCACCGCCGCACAGAGTGGCGCCCGGGGAACCCGAGCCTGGGAAGTGCTGTCCTCTGCACCCTTCCTCGCAACCACCAGGTTTCCACTGAGGGAGAACGACAGAGCTGCCGGCACGGGGTCGGTACCTACCACGGCGGCGAAGTAAATGGGCATCAGAGGGTGGCAGGCCAGGAAGAAGTCGTATAACCGCACGACGTGCCGGAAGTCAGACAGCACGTGCCCAAACCAGGTGATGAGCCAGCTGAGGGCAAAGATGGTCCCCACCTCGGCACTAGGAACGAGGGAATCCAGATGTTAGGTTCCCTGCTGAGTCATCCCTTCCCTTTTTCTGGGCCTTCTTTGTCCTCAGTGCTATGAGAAGAAAACAACTGGGAAATATGCTTTCTGGAAAATTCAGCCACCTAGGAGTTCAGCATTTTTTCCTCACAAAATTCGAAGTCCTTAAAATGGATCTACCGTCATGCCATTAACGCTACAATAGGATCCTGGGTCCCTTATTTCACTGGGCGATCTCCTAATGGCCAACAAATGCCTACTACAGGAAAATGAAGGGTCCATTTACAGAAAATGATGTCATGGTTTTCCTTCTGAGAAAGTCTTACCCTATTGGGGGCAAAGATACATATTCTCAGGCTTGAAAACATAACTCTTATTAATTTTTTAGTTAACATGAGAAGAGAAGCATCTTAAGACACAGCTATTTTTAAAGAGATTTTATTTATTTATTTTTTAGAGAGAGGGAAAGGGAAGGAGAAAGAGAAGGAGAGAAATATTGATGTGCAAGAGAAACATCAATCAATTGCCTCTCGCACACACCCAACTGGGGACCTGGCCCACAACCCAGGCATATGCCCCGACTGGGAATTGAACTGGCGACCTTTGAGTTTGTAGGCTGGCACTAAGTCCACTGAGCCACACCAGCCAGGGAAGACATAGCTGTTATCAAAAAAATTAAAAAGACAGGCATTGGCCAAAGACACATTTCTAACTCAAATAAGAAGAAAAAAAATCATATGAGATTTGTAAAGAAATTTTTTCTCCTCCTTGGTACTTGGTAAATAATACCACCCACAGAGGGCCTGTCTTTCTTGTCTCTGGATCCTGCAAGACTCTGTATTTCCTCTGCAGCAATAATCTTGAAGTCCACATTGGCACACTTACCTCGTCCATCTCTGCCCACTAGACATAACCTCCTCAAGGGCATGGCTGTCACATGTCTTGTAGCCCCAAAAGAGCACAGCACTCAAAAAGTGCTCTGAGACTCTGTACAGAACTGAATTCTCCAGGGAACTGGTGGCAGGAAAGGGCGACTCAGAAGAACCCGACAGTGACCAATGAAAGACGATGACGGGCTAGACACGTGAGGAAGGAACAAAGGCGACGGAAGGCAGAAGGCGTGTGTGCACACGGACACATACGTACCTCTGCATGAAGTCGTGGAGTTCGGGGTTCACCCGGTCGATGATGGGCATCAGATAGTTTAGTATGTGTTTGGTGTTGTCCATTGTCCGGTCCATGAAGTCCCTAGAGGGAGTCAGTTCCATCAGCCTGGTCAGCCCCAACACTTAGATCGGGGTGGGGGTGGGTGGGGCTCAAACCGCTGAAAACACCGATGAGGAAATGGGCTGAGGAATTACCCCCAGGGGCACTTTGGGGAGGGATGCCTGAGTCTTCTGTCCCTCTGCGCTGGTACCTGAGGTGGTGAGTAGATAATTTTTCTACCAGCGACACTGCCAGCCTCTCTCCTACAACCAGCAGAAACGTGACCACGATGTCATGGTAGCCCTGGTAGTAATGCAGCTGAGGGTTGCTCTCCAAGATGAAGAGGATGATGTCGATCAGTTCTTCCTGGAGCCCTTCTCTCTGTTCTTCTGGCATGCCTGGGGGTGGGGGGAGGAGATGCACTTGAACATGGCAAGCAGCCTAGTGACACAGAAGTTAGGAAAACAGCAATAGGTTTTCAGAGAAAGGGCTTTTAAAATTTATTTATTTATTTATTTTTAGATAGAGGGGAAGGGAGGGAGAAAAAGAAGGAGAGAAGCACTGATCAGGTGCCTCTTATACACACCCTGACTGGGGACTGAACCCACAACCCAGGCATGTGCCCTGACCAGGATTCAAACCAGTGATCTTTCGCTTTGTAGGGTGATGTCCAACCAACTGAGCCACAATGGTCAGGGCTCAGAGAAAGTTTGCATCTTAGTGACACACATCAGGGTCCACACACATGAAGGAATTAAGTGGCATACAGAAGAGAGCCACCGACTAGTGACCTTACAGCGGGAGAACCCAGACACCTTCTTGGCTAAGTCGCCACAGCAGCAGGGCCACGGGCGGCAGCAGGGCCACAGGCAGCATGCGCCTCCCGATGCGACGCACCGAAAAGAACTCAGCATCACACCTGTGGTGCTCCCATCAAGAATGTATAAACCTAAGTCTAATATTGAGAAAATACCCAACAAATTCTCATTGAGGGAAATTGTATAAAGTAATTGGCCTGTCATGAAATACAAAGGAACTATTCCAGGTTAAGGAAGGCTAGGGACGTGGTGTCTGAATGGGAACTGCATGGATTTGTATTTCCTCCTCCTATGAAGGCCGCTCCTGGGGGAGATGGTGGGATCTGAGTGAAATGTGCATACTAGACAGCAGTGTGTTTTAATGTTGTTACTGATTTTCATAAGGACACTGTCATGATATAAGAGCCTTGTTTTTTTAGGAAATACACTCTGAAATATTTAGGAACAAAGGGGCACAGTCTGTAATTTATTCTCAAACAATGCAGAAAAAATTTATGTGTATGTACATGGAGGAGAGAAAGCAAATATAGTAAGATATTAACATATAAGAAAATCTGGGTAAAAGGTATGGGGGGAATTCTTTGTCCTATTTTTGTAACTTTTCTGTAGGTATGAAATCATACAAAATAAAAACAAATTAACTGCACGTTCCCCTCTAAACTGAACTAAACGCCACAGGAGACACGGTCCCCTGGGGGCAGAGACGCGGTTGGAGAGGAGGAGCCGTCCTGGGCGCTCGTTCTGAGTAGGCAGTTGGCCTGGCGGTGGGCGGTGCGGCCCCTCGGATAGCCCGCTTTTAGTGTCCAAGCGCCAGGTCCCGGCCGTTCGAACCTCGTTAGAAGAACGGCACACGGCACAGCTTGCCCTGCACCATTAGCCTTTTCAGTTAAAAACAGGTCCTGTGAGAGAAGCAGCTAACGTAAGGGCCCAGATTAAACTGAATGACGGGTTTAAAGTGAGAGCAAAGTTCATCTCTTGCCCATATTTTCCCTCCTGCTTCTCAAAAGGGCACACTTTAAAAGATAAAATTAAAAAAGAAAACGAAGTAAATCCAGTAGAAGGGTAGGTGAGGTCAAAAAGCAGTACCAGAAAACATTAGACTCTGCTTGAAGTTCAGGATGAGAGAGTGGTCAGCTGAGCTCAGAGGAATGTGAAAGCAAAAACAATACTAAACCACATGGAAAGTTTGGCCTACAGAAAGAATATCATAGACGGATGTTATGTAAATAAAAGAGGAATAAAGGGTTCAGAGGGAAAATGTGGGGGGGGCGGGAGGTGAAGGGAGGCATCTGTACTAGGTGGTCTATTCCACAGCAGCAGAATAGGGAGACCCTGCCTCACCCCACCTATGCCTCAGCCTGAACCTCTTTCAGAAGCATTTTCTCACAAGCTACTGGCCTCAGCCCATGCTGTCGACTTTCCTAAAACCTCTCAAAGGTCCACAAACCCCACTTAAGCAGCCACTAGCCTCAGTGTGCCCTGTACCTCTTGCTAAGCAGCTTCCAGCATTAGTGGTAGCGACCTCCAAGTCCAGCGTTGGCAGCTAGCAGCTGCAGATCGCTGTGTAGCTGCTACCCAGTGACCCCAAGCTGGGCACAGGCAGTGGCTGACCTGGGGCTGCATGAGAGCCCCTCCCTAGAAGCCCTAGAGGTCCCAGAGCCAATACGCCCAGCAGCCAGTGGCTGGCTTCAGACCACAAATGAGCATCACCCAATTAGCTACACAAATGACATACCCAAAGGGTGGACTCGGCAGGCACCAGAGCCCCACTGAATTGAATTCTGCCGGGGGCTGGGGGGGGGGGGGGCGGGCGGGGGGCGGGGAAGCCCCTGCACCACAGGGTGTCTCTACAGTCACAGACAGTCCTCACCAGTCGGTCTAGGGCTCTGTCCCACCCACCGATGTGCCAACAGCAGTTAAGGCTCAACTATCACAGAGGGGCACACACCACCTCTACAAGGGACTCCCCAGGAGCACTGAGCGCAGGTGACCAGGGAGTCCGCACCTTGGGCCCCAAAGAACACCTACTATATAAGGTCACTCTCCAAGACTGGGAGACGTAGCAGATCTTCCAAAACACACAAAAATAAACACAGAGAGGCAGCCTAAATGAGGAAACAGCCCTGACTGGTGTGGCTGAGCTGGTTGGGCATTGCTCCATAGAGTGAAAGGTCGCCGGTTCAACACCCAGTCAGAACACACACTGGGAAGCAGGCTCAGTCCCCAGTCAACCAATGAGAGGCAGCTAATCAGTTTCTCTCACACATCAATGTATCTCTCCCTCTCTCCCCCTCTCTCTAAGAATAAATGAATAAAATCTTAAAAAAAAAAAGACAGGATGAAAAAAACAAAATTAAACAAAAAAAGTCCTAAGTTAAAGAATAGGACAAAACTCCAGAAAAAAAGAAAAAACTAAACGAAATAAAGACAAACAACCTACCAGATACACAGTGTTTCCAGTTTCCAAAACCCTGGTTATAAGGATGCTCAATGAACTTAGGGAAAGAATAGATGAACTCAGTGAGAACTTCAAGAAAGAGATAAAAGAACGTAAGAAAGAACCTGTCAGAAATGAAGAATATAATAACTGAAATGAAAACTACATTAGATGGAATCAACAGCAGATTAGATGAAGCAGAGAATCCAATCAGTGATTTAAAAAACAAGCAGAAAACACAAAAGGAGAACAGCAAAAATTTTAAAACCTTTTTTAAAATTAATTAATTTATTTATTTTTAAAGAGAGGGGAAGGGAGGGAGAAACAGAGGGAGAGAAACATCGATGTGTGGTTGCCTCTCATGTGGCCCCCACTGGGGACCTCGCCCGCAACCCAGGCACGTGCCCTGACTGGGAATTGAACCACCAAGTCTTTGATTCGCAGCTCACCCTCAATCCACTGAGCTATACCAGCCAGGGCTAAAAAAATTTTTTAATGAGGATAATTTAAGGGAACTCTGGGACAACATCAAAAATAACAATATTCACATTGTAGGGGCACCAGAAAGACAAGAGAAAGAGCAAGGGATTAAGAACCTATTTAGAAGAAATAATGACAAAAAACTTCCCTGACCTGGTGACGAAAATAAACATTCAAGTCCAGGAAGTACAGAGAGTTCTAAACAAAATGAATCCAAACAGGCCCACACCACAACACATCATAATTAAAATGCCAAAGATCAAAAACAAAGACAGAAAATGAAAAGTAGCAAGGGAAAAAAAGCAGTTAGTTACCTACACAGGCACTCTCATAAGACAGCTGATTTCTCCGCAAAACTTTGCAAGCCAGAAGGGACTGGCACAAAATATTCCAAGTGATGAAAATCAAGAAGCTACAACCAAGACTTCTCTACTCCACAAGGCTATCATTTAGAACTGAAGATATAAAGAGCTTCTCAGACAAGAAAAAGCTAAAGGAGTTCATCACCACCAAACCGGTATTACAAGAGGTGTTAAAGGAACTTCTTTAAGAAGAGGAAGAAAAAAAGACCCAAAAACACGAGTAATGACAATAACGACATACCTACCATTTATCAATAAGTATACACCTGTGTCTTTTGGTGGATTAAATCAAAAGACAGAGTGCCCTGGCCGGTGTGGCTCAGGTGGTTGAAGCGTAAACCAAAAGGTCAAGGGTTCAGTTCTCAGCCAGGGCACTTAAGAGAGGCAACCGACTGATGTTTCTCTCTTATATTGATGTTTCTCCCCACCCCACTTTTTCTAAAATCAATAAGCATGTCCTCAGGTGAGGATTAAAAAAAAATGACATAGGGTGGCTGAATGGAAAAGAAAATAAGAACCAACAAAACCCACTTCAGATCAAAGACAGAGACTGAAAGTAAAGGGATGGAAAAAGATATTTCATGCAAATGGAAAGGATAGAAAACTAGCGTAGCAATATTTGTATCAGACAAAATAGACTTTAAAACAAAGGCTGTAACAAGAGACAATGAAGGACATTTCATACACAACAGCCAAGACACGGACGCGACCTAACTGCCCATCAGTGGATGACTGGGGAAAGAACATGTGGGACACATGCACACAACGGGTGGGTATTCCTTGGCCGTAAAAAGAATGAAATCCTACCATTTGCAACAACATGGATTATGCTGTACAGGGTAATATACTGAGTAAAATAAGTCAAATAGAGAAAGACAAATGCTGTATGATTTCACTTATATGTGGAATCCAAAAAACAAAATAAATGAACAACTGAAACAGAAGCAAACTCCTAGATACGAAAATGAGCTGGTGGCTGCCAGACAGAGGAGTGTCAGGGGGCTGAGTGGCAATGGCGAAGGGATTAGGAAGTATGAAGTGGTGGTTACTGAACAGTCGCAGGGACGGGAAGCGCAGCACAGGGAATACTACAGCCAATAATACTGTAGTAACTACGGACGTTGCCAGGTGGGTACTAGACTTATTGGGGAAGTCACTTCCTAAGTCATATAAATGTCTCACAACTATGCCGTACACCTGAAACTAATATAATATTGAATATCAACTATAATGGAAAAAGAAAACATTTTCTAAAAAAAACAGCAAAAAATAAATGTCACTATAGATTTCTGGTTTTGTTGTTAATAAAAACAACCCCAAAGCATTTCTTGTCATCTGGTAATGACATAAGGGTAATCAACAGTAATCAACATGACATGAATGTTTAAGAACTCTGCTCCCAACAAAGAACACCTAGAAAACACACACTGTACTGCTTCAGTTTCTCACTTCACTAGTCGCTTCCAGGGGAGACACTTTGGAGCAGAGCACTATTACCTCCTTTCAGCATGTTTTGACCTGGTTGTTTTCTTGACTCTGTTTTAGAATGAATCTTTTCTGCATCATCTAATATGAAGTTCATGCACTCATCAAAACCAATGACACAGCCCTCTATCCACACATTCACTTGCTCAGAAAGCCACTCCTGAATCCGAGATCTGTTTTGTAAGGACCTGAAGATGAAGTTAATGGGCTGCACCATCACCTTCCGCACTTTTGGGCCCTGGCCACGGTATGCCATGGCGGAAGCTGACAAAGTCCACACTAAGCCATGTGTTACCTCAAAAAGCTACTTCTGGAATCTGTAGATTTCTTTTTAAAAAGTTTATCTTCGACACAGAGGCCTAAGTTAAAGTTACTAAAAAAACAAATAAAAACCAAAGGAGCAGGATAGAAAAAGGGGATTGGACCATGGGTGTATGTTTTCATTAAAACCAAGATGCATACATACAAATACTGAATCATTATGTTGTACACCTGAAACTAATATAATGTTGTATGTCAATTATACCTCAATAAAAAGAAGTAAATAAAAAAATTAAAATTAAAAACCAAGATGGCAGGCCACTGGCTATACAAAAACCACTAAACCTCTCCAGGAGGCAAAGATGTGAGTAGGAATAAAGGCCCTTTAAAATACAAAACCCACCCTGGCTGGTGTGGCTCAGTGGATTGAGTGCCAGCCTGCAAACCAAAGAGTTGCTGGTTCAATTCCTCATCAGGGCACATGCCTGGGTTGCAGGTCAGGTCCCCAGTGGGGGGTGCGCAAGAGGCAACCACACATTGATGTTTCTCTCCCTCTCTTTCTCCTTCCCTTCCCCTCTGTCTAAAAGTAAATAAGTAAAATATTTTTTTAAAAAATTCAAGCCAAATCATGGGTTTGGAAGACTGAAGCAATGGATTTACAGTAGCGATTTTCAACCTTTTTCATCTCATGGCACACATAAAGTAATTGCTAAAATTCTGTGGCACACCAAAAAATATTTTCGATTTTTTGGTGATCTGACAAAAAATAGGTATACTTTTAACTCATTCACACCAGATGGCTACTGTTGTACTGGCTGTTTTCATTTTTCCAATTTGACAATCTAAAGGAAAAGAGGTCAGTGCCCTTGACTAAATAGTCAGGTATTGTGTGTTTAAAATTTTTTTATCCCCCATGGACATGGGCTTCATTTGGGGACTGCTGGGGAAAGAGAAGGAGGAGCTAGCACTGGTGGATATATGGAGGGAATGGCTTCTCAACTTGCTTTTTATTTTTTAATTAATTAATTTTTAGAGAGAAGGGATGGGAAGAAAAAGAGGGAGAGAATCACCAATGTGTGGTTGTCTCTCCCTACTGGAGGCCTGGCCCACAACCCAGGCATGTGCCCTGACTGGGAATCAAACCGGGGACCGGTTGGTTTGCAGGCCGGCACACGATCCACTGAGTCACACCAGCCAGGGTTCAACTTGCCTTTTAATTTAGTGTATGTTGCCTGGAGGTGAGGATGAGTGAGAACAGCTGTAGAAGTGAGAGAAGGGGCAAAGAGAAGGTCATGGAATGGACACGTTTCTTAGGGAAGGACACCAGGACCAGGATATGGGGACTTGGGTGGTGGGGGAAGGAAAGCACCCTTCCTACACTGAGACTCAACCAAGGTCATTGCTTGATACCAGCTTCCCCACCTGCTTTCCCCCCATTCTAGCTCCCGGCCCAGATGTCTGCCCTGCCGGCTCCCTCAACCTCCTGTGGAGAGGAGGGGAATGTAGACATGGAGAATGGTGGCACCCTCCTCCTCTGGGTCCCCTGCCTCGGAGAACTGCTCACTCATCCTGCCCTGAAGTCCCAGCCACAGCCAGGCGGTCAGGAAGCCAGGGTGCAGGCAGGAAAACAATTGTGCCCTCCACCACCCCTCCTGACACTCTGTCCTCCCTGGCTCCTCAAATGAGCCTGCAACTCTCGGCTCAATCCTTGCGTATCTCGCCTTCGTCCTGTCCCTCTGGTCTGGCTGTCCTGCCAGCTGAGTGGATCACTGCAGTCCCCAGTGTGAGTCAGTACAGCGCAGCTACCTACAGCCATGAACCCCAGAGGCCACTGTGGCCACATGGAAGACATCCCTGACACTGAGCTCAGAGGGCCGGGAAGATCACTCCACACAGGACACGGCCCCCACCTGCCTGGCCAGCAGTGCCCTGCTCATGCGTAACAGGCATGAGCCACTGCCTGAACAGCTCCCTCGGTGTGGCCAGGTCGGCCTGCATGTCCCGTTTACAGTCAAGCAGCACAACCTTGGCACTGGGGCAAAACTCCTGAGTCTCTCTTTGCCACTTCTAGAGGACACTGTCCAGTGTTTTCGGCCTGCTAATGTCAAAGCCCATGAGCAGTGTCTGAGTCAGGATAGGCCAGAGCCAGCACTGTCATGGTTAAGAGGAACCTGAGGTGTCCCACAAGAGCTCAGCGTGGCACTTGTCTACCTCACAGCTCTCGGTGGGGACATAACTCCAGGAGCAGGCATCCTTGGCGAACACTACCACCGCCCCGTGGTTCCTGCTACATGCCGCCCCTGCCTTCCCTGCACACCCTGCTCCCAGGCCTCGCTGGCTGTCCACACTGGCATCTCAGGGACTGCGCTGAGATGCTCTGCCCCCTCTGCCCCTTAAAAATTCTTGCAGCACACCAGGTGCAAATCACATTGCTGGTTTAGAGGGTCTTGTTCCCTTTAGCAATTCTCTCTTTATGTCCCTAAAGGCAGACTTGCCAATGGAAGAGAAATGGGTCATAAAAATGAGGTTTGTTGCCCAATTTCCTTCACTGTGAAAATGCAGACACCAGTCATTCTTCTCATTCTTCCTGGAATGGGGAGGCAGTTTTAGAAACAGACTTCGAACATGAGGGAATGACCTCCCTTCCAGCCCAAGGAATTCAACATATGTATATGCAAGATATTACTACTTATAAGCCCAATCAGAGGAGGTATCACTAGTTCTTGTCAGTATCTGCTTCCTAACCAATCTGCTCCTTAAAGCCAGACGGAGGCTCTAGTAATTCCTATTCTCTTCCGCAGCTCTGGAAGCGGGGGAACAAACCTCTGCTTCCAGTCACCACCTCGAGGCCAAGAGAAATCACTTTTGGCTCAGGCTCCCAGTGGGGGTCTGAGTGTGACGGAGGAACTGAAAGGTGACTCGGCGGACCGGGAGCACATGTTGGGTCCCGCTGTGTGCTGGGATGGAAGCTCCAGGACAGGTGCCAATGTGACAAGGTAAGTGCAACTGGGACAGAGAGCTTCTCACCAGGAGGAAAGCGCCGCAATGACCGCCGGACGTCCAGAAGCACTTGCTGGTAGTCCTTGCTCTCTCGTAGGCTTTTCCCTATTGGAGGAAAAGGAACACGTCACCATAGGAACGTCAGGGAAGCCAGATCAGGAGTGAAACATTCTGGTTCTAGCCCAAAGCCAAGGAGGACACACTCCTGCATTTTCCTAAAGAGAATATGACTCGAAATACAATGTTTGGAGAGGAATCCCGAGTTTAGTTACAAACATGTTCAATGCAAGTCCTGCTGACCAGAAGAGGAGGGGTCACAATATCCAGGAGGGTCACGGAGTCAGGTGGACACAGCAGCAGAGGAGAAGTCAAGAGGCCAGGGGCCTCCTGTGGCATCACTGGGTAACTGCTCTGAATTTCAAAGTCCACATCTGTGAAGTGGTAATATTTCCACCCTGGCCAGTGTGGCTCAGTTGGTTGAGTCACACCTCAACCCCAGCTGAGTGCTGTATAACAAGTCTACAGCTCCTTCACAGACCAAAATCAAAAGCTACCAGAAGAGACTGTGCAAAACACCCCCACACGGACTCCAGCTTACAAAGCCGGGGGACCTGGAGCCCGGTAGAAGAACATCATCTCAGGATTCAGAGCGTAAACATGACACTGCCCTCTCCTTCCAACAGAAAGCTGGCTGCTCCGAGGCGGTCAGTTTCAAAGATAATAACAAGTGGTAACTTAACACCCACTCAGCTGTCCTACGACACTGTGACCTTCCACGGGCGGAGGCTGTTGCAACCATCTCCAGCATCTGGCACACAACAGGAACACAACCAGGATCTACCAAATAAGTGAAAGCATCCCCGGCAGCTGGGCTTTGCCACACATGGCAGAAAAGCAATAAATGTCTGTGGAGTGAACGGGTGGCATCTGCAGTACTTTCGTCCGTATTCTGTGCCCTATTCCAAGGAACTCCTTTTACTCCATGGCCCTTGCGGGTTTGTTAAGTAACAGCTTTTCACAGAATTATAGACTTTTAGAATTCAAAACAATCATAGTATCTTCCAGTAAAAAATCTTTTATGTTTTTTAAAGATATTATTTTTCCCCACAGCCTAATGTTTCTCACAATGTAGTCCACATACATCAGAATTAGGTGGAGTGCTTGTTGAAATGCAGACTCCTCTGAGTGAATACAGACTGCAGTGCACATTTTTAATGAACTCCCCTACCTAGCCACCTAGCCAGTAATAGCTCCCTACATAACTACCTAATAAAAGCTCGTTCTACTTTTGAATAAACCTTTACTTATTAGTCTGGACTTATATTCAGAGTTGACCCAATCACATTCTTCGGCGCTTTAAATCTACTCATCTCCTTTTAGTGTGACATTAGCATAAACACCAGAGATCCTGGAATTCTTTTCCCCTTGCCTCCCAAGTAAGCTCCCCGCACAGCACCCCCTTACTTGATATAGGAGGTGGGTCGCTGGTGCTGACGTTGAGGAGCTTGGGCCACACTTCTCGCCTGATCTCGTCAGTCAGGAGCCCCCCTTCGCTGATGGCCATGCGTCTGAGGGCAGCGACGTCAGTGGGATCGCTGTTCAGAGCCTGGTATATCTCTGCCACTTTCTTCTTCCTTTTCCCGTTAAAGCCTGCAGAAACAAGCAAACGGAAAGTGGGGGTGGGGGTGCATTAGGCACATACCCAGCACGTGTACATTTTCTTCCAGGCTCAATATCCTAATTTGGTCTGAGGTATAGGTAGGTATATTTAAAGCCAACATATTTAATTAGCACAATTAGATATTTAATTAGCACGTAATGTACAAAACAGGAAGGAAATATATCATGTAAGTAACCAGCAAGGAATTATAATGATAATAAATGCTCACTAAACTTAGACATATCTAACAGTTACTGTTGATGTTTTCCTAACAGAATGCCTCTTCTTTCTTAGTATGAAGCTTTAGAGCATATATCTCTTTCTCATATAATTTTTTCCTGTGGTTTAGAGAGGAAAAATGTAAAATGTATGCCACCAAAATGCAACACTACATTTTTAAACAAAACCGCAAGTTTCCAGTTACTGGTAAAACATCAGAGTCCTAGAAACACTTCCAAGTCAGAGGGCAAAAGCGTGTGCTCGCTGGAGCTCTCGAGCGTGGGCGGTGAGAGGGCATGACGTCGCACCCAGAGCGAGGGCCGCGCTGATCACCGCGATCAGGAAGCGACGTTTTAAGCTTCTCACATCCTTATGTGAGCGTTTGTTATTTATACACAGGCATTTTACTGTGTTTAGAATACTCTTTAGGAAACCAGTCAAGAATTTGTGGTTGATGTTTATCCTATTACAATTTTTTCTATTTAAAATAATGGAGTAACAGGTTCTTAAGAGTTTTCATGCAGAACATCTAAGTTTAGGAATGGCAAACACAAGGGAAGTTAAACGGGGCACCATAAAAGAGTGTCACAAAGGGGTGCACTGAAGCTGCCAGAAAAAAGACTGTGCAGACACCGAGAGCTCAGGGCATGTTGTGGGTCAGGCCGGGCGGAGAAGCTGAAAGAGGAAAAGGAGGGTGTCAAGAGGCTGGGGAGAGAGAGCAGGAAAGACACCGGGAGACAGGACACACAGGCCCTTTCACTTAACAGCAGGTGGACCCGTTAAAAACATGTATGTAGCACGTACTTGGGTGTAAGGCACTGGAGACATGTATGGTGGACGACAACATTAGAAGGCAGGCTTTACAGAAGACGAATATCGAAAGGTACATTAGGTTTAGAAGGGACACTAAGCGGCTTTCCTCAATAACTTCGTATTCCACGCAACAGTCCACAAACTGTTTCCATGACAAAACTGCATGTTATTAACACAAATGAAACTTGGCACTGATGGTCCTGGTTACCTGCCTATGACAGCTGTGACATGTAGGTCAGCTGGTCTGGAGCCATATGCAACCGCAGGTGCAGACAGGAAAATAACACAGGTGACTTTGAACCTAAGAAGACCTGTTTTCCCGGCTACACTGTTTTTTCCTCGGTAACCTAGTACAGTGACCATCTCTTTCCGTTTGTCTGAGAGGCTCCTGGTTCACGCCTGTAATCCTGGCATAACTGTTCATCGCACACCCCTCCTGCGACCTGTACTTTCAAAAATGTCCCAGCTTGGATGCTAAATTACATGGTTACTCTATCTAGAAATCATAAAAATTAAGTCCCAATTTTCTGTCAGCGCAACACCTAATTAGTTAAATGTTTGTTTACAAGGTGTGTCAAGCTCTTGGCTTCAGTGTGTCCATCCATATGTCTGCTTGTCTGTCCATCCATCTATCCACTTGTCCATTAGTCTAGCCATTGATTTATCAATCCATCCTTTAATGAACATCTACTCGTAGTAAGCACTGTACATGGGCAAAAAGATTAATTTGAGCCCTGACTAGTGTGGCTCAGTTGGTTGGGTGTCATTCCACAAAGTGAAAGGTCACCAGATCGATTCCTGGTCAGGGCATGTGCCTGGGTTGCAGGTTGGGTCCTGACAGTGGCACCTACAAGAGGCAACCAATTGATGTTTCTTTCCCTCTCTTTCTCCCTCCCTTTCTCTCGCTTTTAAAAAGAAAAGTAGAAAAGATTAATGTGACTCCCTCCCAGCCTTGGAGAGGCTCACAGTAGGGATGGACACAAACAATTATTACACATGATATAACGGAATCCTGAAGAATTATGTAACTCCAGACAAAAGAATGACTGCTTCTCATGCAACCTGGAAAGGCTCCACCAAGAATATGCTCTGGTACCTTCTTAAAGAAAGCTCTGCACTCGGACGAGTGGTTGAAGCGAGAGCATTCCAGGGAGATGAAAGAGTGTTGCCGAAGACCTTGTCACAGGAAAAAAACATCATGTCCCCAAAACACAGAGACAATTCTGTAAAGCTGAGGTGTTAGGTAGAGGGAGAGAGGGCAGAGTTGAAGGACTGCAGTGAACGTAGCTTATGGGAGAGTCTGGGCTTTGCTCTACAGCCAAGCAAAGACAGGGAGGGCTGTCACCCGGGTCACAGGGCCCCACTCTGGAAGAGAAGGCTGTGAGTTTTCAAAGAGGGATTGCAGACACGCAGGATGCAGAGCAGACTTTGTATGGAACAGACTGAGACCAGATAGCAGCAGGAATTGAATTAATTTCCAATGACAAATATAAAGTACCAGATAGCCTGTAATGTTTTTTTCTCAGAGTTTCCTTGTATTTTCTACATGCCACAAATTAAGAATCCTTTCATGGTAAAATGAATACTGATTGAGGCAAGCAGATGTTTAGAAATCCTGTTAATCTACCTCAGAGTGTGGAAAAATTTCCTCCATTTCTTTAGACGTATATCCACCCTGCCCCTCTTCCTAAGTAAGCTGTTTAGCAATCTGGGGAAAAGGGAAACCGTGGCTTGTATCTTGGAGAAAGGACTACTGCTTGCCATCAGCTGGATTTCCATTACGTTTTGGTAAATAATCTGCCGGAGTTTTTACCAATTCTGAACCCAAACCACAGCTCCAGTGCTCAGTTCTCTTAACACTCTGTTCTAACTCTATTCTTAGTCCTGCATTTCAAAATTTACTACTATCTTCTGGTTTTCAGTGCCCTGTGGGGACGCAATGTACACAGAACAGAATCAAAAAATGAGCTTAGCTACTGTTCCTTTGGAAACACTGGCCTGTGATAAACGGCATCGCCTTCCCCACGCTGCCATCCCGGTGCAACCCTGAACAGGGTCCTGGGCTGCCCGACAGCGGGCTGTGTCCTGAGAAGGTGCTGTCGGGCAGTTTTGCTGCTGCTCGAGTATCACCGAGTGCACTTACACAAACCTGGGTGGTACGGCCCACCGTGCACCTAGACCTTGTTGTGATACCACCTTCATATACGTGGTCCATCACCGACCCAAACGCTGTGTGGCACAGGACTACAGATTTGTAGATTCTTTGGCCTTTTTCTGAAGCTTCTGGTACTTCCCAGGGTGGGATGCTGCTGGAATGTGAACTTTAGCTGCTGTCTGTTCGGGACCCAATATCACCTTCATCGACCCCATTTTCGATGAAGTGTTAATGGCCGAGGAGGAAGGCGCTCCTTAAGTGTGCCCCCCCATACAGAAATATTTATTACACCTAATATATAAGTTCTCACTGTGACATAAAAAGGGAGAAGAAAACAGGAAAGTCAAGTGAGCTAGAGATATATAAATTACAGGGCGGTAAGGTCAACTGCTAGATTACACAGTGAGGAAGAAAATGTTAGTAAAGTCTCAACTGAAACTAATTCACACATATCTTCTTCACCTCAGAGAAAAATCACAGAGCTACTTCTGGGATACTCAGGAAAATATTACAATTCATGCTTACTTACTTCCTATTTTAAGATAAATTTTGTAGATGGATTGGGGGTGGGACACGCACTTCCGGCCGTGAGAACGTTGTATCCTGGCAGGGGGTGGCGGGGGGGAAGCCCACATGTCCTTGGGACGTAGCGTGTCCACGACCTCAGTCTCCCCGAATCATTTCTCCCCCAGTTTCCTTTGGCCCCACTTATGAAAGAGATGTATCACATGTCCCAAAGTTGACACCTTCCAAATTCTTTGCAGCAAGAGGTCTTGGCTACCATAACCACGACGAAATGATTACCCTACAGCTGGCTGCACAATGTAAGACACTGCTATAAATAAATCCCCGGTGCCTGAAAAGCGATTCATTCAACACAGAGAAAAAATGATACAGGCACTACTTGGCCGGCTCTCCATTAAAACAATCACTTATTTTAATAAGGGGCACTGAAGCAGCAGTTCTTAACAGTTCAGATAAAGATGACGGAGCCTGGTGCTGTCTCAAAGCCTTCCCAACCCCGGCTACAGAACCCAGGGGGAGATTTCTGCCTCCTCAGAGAAACACGCATCTCCAAAAGCACCTGGTTTGGGAAACTACATATACATACACATAAACATATATGTGTGTGTATATATATATATGACAATGACTAAAGATGAACACTAGCTATGCTTCCTCTAAAAGTTTTTCCATATCAGCAAAATACATATTAATGGCTTATAGTAGGTAAAAGATCTACATGTGAGTACACTGTAATGGAATCTTATGTGAGAGTACCAAATTCCATACTTATTCGGTTTAAGCTTGCATATCAAGAAAGCTTTGAGGTCTTTAAACAAAAGTCAGACTCAAACTGAGCAGTGCTAGCCTTTGTCAAAACACTGGGAGAGGCAGAGAGGCACAGAGAGAGAGAGAGAGGGAGAGAGATATCCCCTCAGACACCACCCCTATCTCACCCCTTGAACTCCAGATGTTGACACTGAAAGTTAACTTAAAATTTTAGGCTTGAGCCCTGGCCAGGTGGCTCAGTTGGTTGGAGTGTGGTTCAGTACACCAAAAGGTCATGGGTTCAGTTCCTGGTCAGGGCACAGGCCTAGGTTGCAGGTTTGATCCCCAGTCGGAGCACACAGGAGAGGCAATCAATCAATGTTCCTCTCTCACACGGATGATTCTCTCTCTGCCCCCCTTCCTCTCTCTAAAATCAATAAGCATATCCTTGAGTAAGGACTAAAAAAATTTTAGTCCTTGAACTTAATATCTGTACCAGAGAAAGACAGTAGGAGAGTACAGCCTTACCTTTTTCTGAATAAGGTTCCCATTAAAAAAAAAGTAAGACAAAGTAGCTTCTGTTTCTGAAGGTCCTATTTAGTTTCAACTAACTGTACCAGACTTAGCACAGATTCGTTACTTGAAACATACAGACAAGCGCGTATTAAGAATGACGGCTTTACCCTAACAATGCAAAAAAATATTCTGAAGAGTAAACCGATTCAATCATGAACTCTACACAGGAGAACTGCTAGAGTTAGTAACTTTGTTAATTCTCCAAAAATACTCTAAGTTCCTCCTATTCATCCAGAGAAGTAAAATCAAGGAAACCAGGACATCAAGTCGGCATAGCTGTGCTACCCCAGGTCACCAGACCCGCACCACTGGGGCACTCACTGACTATCAGGCCATGAAGAAAGAGGTCATCCAAACACCAGCAAAGGGCCACAAAGCCAAAGGGCCAGGGGAAGTAGTATGCGTGAGATCCACTTCCACCCAGGACTAGCACAGGAGAAAGGGGGGACAACAGAAAATGAGCCCAGAGAAACATCTGATATCAAGTGCTGCATCAGAATATGTGGGTTGAACATGTCGATTGGTTCTACAACATCATGGACACCGCCGATGAGAGGATGGAAGAGTGGGAGAGCTGCTTCAATCTTCTTAGAGGGGACAGAGATGATTTTACTTGGTACAGAGTAAACAAGAAAAATTTTAACTGTCATGTCTTGTATGTAAAACATATGTGAAAACAGCACACAGCAAAACCATGATTTCACAGAAATAATTGTATGAAACAATCATTAAACGATATCAAAATAGAAAATTGCTTTTTACACAATTAAATAACATTAAACTAGGTGGAACAGAATTGAGACATAAAGTAGATTAGTGTCTGCCAGGAGCTGTGGAGACTGGGGAGTGTGGAGTGATGGGCTTCCTTTTCGGAATATTAATGTTCTGAAATTAGGGCTGACGATTGCACAGCCCTGTGAAAGTACTAAGAACCACTGAACCGTACACTTTTAAAGGGCCGGATTTTATGGTAATTATGAAAAGAAATAGGTGGTCAGGCACACCACGCAAATCAAGCCGGCGACAGATGAATGAAGTTTGGGAACCTGCCGCACAACTAGGGAGGCGGCACCAGGAGTCTGCGGACGTGGCCCGACGGTGTCAGGACGGCGGTGAAGCTTGGCCTCAGTTCTCCCAGACCAGATTCTCCCTTTCAGACGCGATGAGGACAGGCGCAGCGTCCCCGCCCCTTCCTTCCCGCTGGGGACCTAGTTCTGCCACCACGGTTTCTCAGGTCTCATCAGCGTCCGTGGATCCCCCGCTTCTAGGCTCTGTTTCTCTTCAGCCTGTTCCTCTCCCGCCGTCCCGACCCCTGCCCGCGGCCCTGGGCGCACCCTACGTGGCCCGTCGGGAGCCCCTTGCTCCGGGGCCCGCTCCTCCGACAGCTGTCCCCGGCCCAGGGTCGCCCCTGTCGCTCAGGCCGCCCTCGCAGGCCACTCCTCGACGCCCCGGCCGGATTCCGTACCTGCCGTCTCCGCGCCTCTGTCCGGGAGACTGGAGGTGGGGCTGTCGCCCTGCGCACTCCGGGAAGTCATGTCCCGGGGGCCCGGGCCCCGGCCCGAGCCCCGGCTGGTGGTGAAACCGAGAGGAGCCGCGGCCGCCGGCGCGTCAGCCAGAGCCCGCACCGCCCCGCAGGATCGGCTGGGCGGCCGGCTGCGCGCAGGCGCGTAGGCATCTTCGCCACGCCGGCACGTGACCGTTCGCTACGCTGGAGCAGGCGGGGCTCTCTAAACCGGAGTCCAGGAACAGAGAAAGATATGAGAGAAGGGAGGGAGGAAGGGAGGGAGAGAAACATCAATGCGTGGTTGCCTCTGGCGCGCCCCCTACTGGGGACCGGGCCCACAACTGAGGCCAGTCCACTGACGGGGAATCGAGGCGGGGACCCTTTGGTTCGCAGGCAGACACTCAATCCACTGAGCTACACCAGCCAGGGCGAGCCAGAACGAGTGTGTTATGGACCAAATTTTGTCATTTCTTATTTATAACTTACCACTTTTCTTATTTGTAAAGGATGCTGATTAATAAATAAGTTCTGAAGTCAGAGTTATTGGGAAAGTGCTTAGAATACTATTAAACAATTAAAGCTAGTGTTTTGTTTACCAAGGATTTTACCTTCTACCTCACCTCCCACTGGTACTCCTTTCATACCTAGCTACTTCAGGGTTTTCTCAGAACCATTGTGTATGGTTCTGCAGGTTCACTGCACAACGCCGGGAGACGCCATTCACACAGATGATTATGTGATCAGCGCCCCTTTGAGTTATACAAAACTGGCCACTCATTCAAAATGAGCATCTGCCTTACCAGGTTTTTGACCACCTTCTCATCTCTAATGACACTCCTTTCTCTCCAATTGGCCACCCATTCCCTTGGTCACACCCTTATTGTTGTTGGCCAGACAACAGTACCCCCTCGGGCTCCCATGATTCTGGGTGCTGGTTGAGCCCTAAGGAAACAGTTCTTTATTCTCCCAGACCCCCAGCCCACTTGGCTGCTAGTGGCCCCTCTTGGTTTCCCACCCATCTTGTTGAATTCAAGTTCCATGGCCTATCTATCATTAAACGGCATGTCCTTTGTAAAAAGGTGCTCTGGGTAGCTTTCAGGAGCAGGAAAGATTACTTTGAGGTTAATTTGATTTTTAAAAGTAATGTTCAATTTATTAAAATTAGAAATCCCCAAATAGAGTTTTCTTAATTTCAGCAGGCAAATTTTACAATTCCATTCATAAATCTAGTAAATTTTAACAACCACTTCTTTGGTCCCATCAATAAATTTGGTTAATTAAAAGTTCCATTGAAGACTTGAAATTGTATTTATAAATTTAATCATTCACTTTCCTCTTTTCAGTGTCACAATTTTCTAACAATGCCTTTTCCACCCTTATGTAATTCTTATAAATAAGATAAATTAAACTTATAACTATGTTGAGTCATGAGCTCATTTAAATGTGTCAATACAAATTTAAAAAGCCTTCAACTTAAAACCACAAGTCAAATCTATTATCCAAATACACATTTGTAATCAGTACTACAAGGGTCTATTAGAATTCCCCAAATTATCTTAAATATTATAAGAATGTCAAACATTACATTTACATAGATTGCTTAATGCAAAAACAGTAGCGTGGTGGGTTTAAAACATTTCTAGTCTTTATTCTCAACAGTAGTTGAGGTTAAAAGATGCTCATCGCTCTGAAGGGTTGCCGTCCAGTTTGGGAGTAATAGACTCGAGCAATTTGGGGTATTTACTCTGTTACTGTGCTGGCAGGTGGATTCTTGCCTGCGGCAGTGATGGGACAGGGACCTGCTCCCCTCCCCACCATCACAGCTCTAGGGCTAAACTGTGCGCTGTTACTGTGAGATTGGGCCAGCGCTCATCCTCTGTAAGACCAGGAAGTGGCTGGCTCTCAAGGAAAAGAGAGCCGGTCAAGCTACTACTGCCAAGTGCTCAGCAAGATGAACAAGGCGTCACATGGAGAAAACCAGTTCTTCTCCCAGGCTGATACTACACCTTCTGGTCAGTACATTGATTCGCTGCGGTTCTCCGCAGGGGCTCTTTGTCAGCATGATCAGGAATGCCAGTCTTTTTGCCTCATAATTCCTCATGCCCACTCTCTTCGAAAGGAGTTTTAGGTGGCAGAAGAGAATTTTTTAAAAGCCTTCCTAGGTCAATAGAAACGAGCCTAGGTTTCAAGCGTTATGATGGTCATGCCCTTCCGCTGTTGGTTGAGTTTGGAGCCCGTGGTTGAGCCAGAGCCTGCTGGGCTGGTCTGCCAGGGGGCCCAGGACACCAAGAAGCATAAGTTTCTTGGAAGACCCCCAAACACAGACATGTATATTACTGAGCTCATTGGTTTGCTCAACAAACATTCATGGACCTTAACTGGCCAGTGCTAGGACCCAACATAACAAAGCTTTATTTCCTATTCTCCCAGACAGCTCAGGTTGGTAGAGACAGGGACTCTTCAACTTACAAGAGGCAACAAGTCCTAGAAAAGGAGAAAGAAGCTTGGAGGGTTGCAGAAGCCCAAACCACACACAGAAGTAGGAGGGTGATGAAGAAAAATTTCCTGGGGTAGGGATTTCTAAGTTTATATAGAGGGATGAGTAGCATGAGTCAGTTGGTATAAGGAAGAGCATTGTAGGCTGAGAAAACAGCACGGCACTGTCGTCAAGCGAGGAGAAAGCAAATCAGTCTAGAGACTGTGAGTGCTTTAGTGTTCTTTCAGCGCCATGTGAAAGAGAAAGTGGACTTCGACATTAGTGAGCACAGAGAAGTGTGCAGGGGCAGGTCAGGAGTTTGGGCCGGATGGGGTCAGCAGGGTGGAATTAAAGAATTTAGCACTGAACGTGGCCTTTGATGCCATCTAGATTAATCCTCATTTCCAGCATAAGCATCACCTCTACTGATCCACACAAAAAATGTTTATGGAGCACCGAACCCGGGCCCAGCTGTGAGCTGGGATGTAGTGACAGATGTGGAACTGCTCAGCTTCTAAGGGAGGAGATAAGTAAGGCCAAGTGAATGGTGAGACAGGGGACAACATGTAAGTTTAAAAGAACATGGAAAATCCCAGAAACCCAGAGATTCAGGGGTGTTAAGTCCCTGTGTTAGGTGGAATTCTAAGATGGTCCCCAAAATTCCCATTCCATAGTGTACAAACCTGCATAATCCCTTCCCTGTGAGTGTGGGCAGCACTTGCGAATATGACGGAATTTCACTCTTGTGATTAGGTGATATTAGAAGATAAACATGAAGGAATCCTGCAGATGTAATGAAGGTCCCTAATCAGGTGACTTTGCAGTCAAAAGGGAACTTGACGTGGGTAGACCTCATCAGGTGAGTCCTTTAAAAGAAAAAAGGTGCAGGCCGCCCTGGCTGATGTGGCTCAGTGGATTGAGTGCTGGACTGCGAACCAAAGGTTTGCCAGTTTGATTTCCAGTCAGGGCATATGCTTGGGTTGCAGGCCAGGTCCCCAGTAGGGGGAGCTCCAGAGGCAACCACACGTTGATGTTTCTCTCCTCTTTCTCCCTCCCTTCCTCTCTCTAAAACAAACAAACAAACAAACAAACAAACAAACAAACAAACAAACAAACAAGGTGCGGGCCTTCTCTGTAGGAGACATCTACAGCGGTGTTCTCCCGTTGGCTTCCAAGAAGTGGACTTCTCCGTGGAGATGGCCACACAGCAGGGAACAGTGGTGGTCTGTAGGAGTGGAGGGTCTCAGTCCTACAGCAAAAGAAACCAAATTTGGCCGGCAGCAAGCTTGGACGAAGGCATGGAGCCTCAGCCGAGATCACCACCTTAACTGACAACCTGACTTCAGCCTGGTGAGGCCCTGAGTAAAGGAGCTTGGCTGACCCACACTTGGGTGCCTGCACCACAAAAACTGAGATAATTACATTTGTGGTGTTTTGTCACACAGTGAGTGGCTGAAAGTCTCACCCCACAAAAATCCCCGGCAAGGGTTTATCAGCTCGAGTTACTGAAGTTCTCATTCCCCTGTGTCCCCTGTCTCCATCTCTCAGCTGCCCACCTCTTCGTGTTGACTGAACTACAACCCCACAGAGGCCTTGGGATCATAATGTGACCCTGACAGCATCCGACTCTGTGAAAGACCTTGAACTCTTAGTCCCGGCATTTCCAAAGGAAGTGTTGACGTCTCACTGGCTGACTTGGTCACCGGCCTAGGCCTGAGCCAGTCACAGCAGTCGTCCTGTGGGATTGGTTGGGCCTGAGACTGATGCCCCACCCCTGAGCAGGGGCGTAGCCCTGGCCAAAACCCTGGGGCTGAGGGTGGGAAAGAAGCAAAAGACATTGATTTTAATGATCACCCTCAGATTTACAACTCCCATCTTTAGTCAATCAGTTTGTTTGCCTTCAGATACCCTGCTTCGGGTGAAGTAAGTCTGAAGACCTTGCAACAGTGGATTCCCATGTCCTTCCTTCTGTTCATCATGCTATCGTCATACTTTTATTTTCTTCTTAAATCCCTTCTTTTCCCCAACGCCTCCCGCTGCCCACCCCGCCCCACACTTGCAGACAACCACTGTACATTTCGTGGCTATCATCTGCATTTTCCACAACCTTGTAGGGATGGAATCATACAGTATGCAGTCTGTTGGGTCTGGCTTTCAGTCAGCAAAATTATTGTAAGACTAATTCATTTTATTGCATGTATCCTATTTATTTTTTTTTAATTCTTTTCTTTTAATCCTCATGCAAGGATATGTTTTTTTTTAGTTTTTTTTTCAGATTTTTAAAATTTATTTATTTTTAGAGAGGGAAGGGAGGGAGAAAGAGAGAGAAACATCAATGTGCGGTTGCTGGGGACTGTGGCCTGCAACCCAGTCATGTGTCCTGGCTGGGAATCGAACCTGCGATGCTTTGGTCCACAGCCCACACTCAATCCACTGAGCTATGCCAGCCAGGGCTAGGATATGTTTAATAATTTTAGAGAGAGGACTGGAGAAATAAAAACATTGATGTGAGAAACATTGATCTGTAGCCTCTCATCCATGCCCTGACTGGGTATGACACCCAAAACCTAGGTATGTGTCCTGACAGGGAATCAAACCCACAACCTTTCGGATAATCCAGCCAGGGTTATTTCTTTTTATTGCCCAGTATTTCATCATACGGTTATATAATTCATTTATTTGTATT